CCAGAGTTTAGGGGATTTAGGGTTTAGGGTTTAGGGTGTAGCACGTCTCAGCTGAACGCAATAGTGTGAAGACATGCCCACCCCAAGGCCACCCTATCACAACTCACTGCGAAACCAAACCGGAGCCAGCCAAAGCCAACACGTCGAACATTCTTAGAGGATTCTGAAACTAGTTAGAACCCAAGCCTTTAGTGACTAGACTTCTGGGTTTTTCTTGGGGCCATAAGGCAAAGGATTCCCCTTCAGGTTTACGCGAAGGGGACGGTCTGGGCCGAAGGGCCCTTTCACAGAAAACTCAGGCGTGAACCGGTTGCAGGTTGTGGGTCACTTGGGTCCATAAGGCAAAGGACTCCCCTTCAGGTTTGCGCGAAGGGGACGGTCTACCCTCTCTATAGCAAATTGAGGGGGTGCAAGAACCAGGGTCAGGGCTAGAGGGCCAGAGCAGGGGCCACCACCAGAGAGGTACCAGGCCAGGAGCTAGGGCCAGGGCAGAACCACAGCCGAGGCCAGGCCAGGGCCAGGGCCAGGAGGGCCAGAGCCAGGGCCAGGGCCAGGGCCAGGGCCAGGGCCAGGGCCAAAGCCAGGGCCAGGGCCAGGGCCAGGGCCAGGGCCAGGGCCAGGGCCAGGGCCAGGGCCAGGGCCAGGGCCAGGGCCAGAAAGAAACAAAACAGGGCCAGGTTTTAAAGGCAAAGGATTTTGTTGAGGGTTTTAGGGTTATACAATATCTATAGTGACTATGCTAGGCGACTCTAGCTTGGCGACCCCTCAGGGGTGCGGTTGGCAGGCTCTGCAGCCCAGCAGAGCCTGCCCTGGTCTCGCTGAGCGCTCGACTGCGCCCGCCTACCCCAATAGAGCTTTGAGGGGGGGCGGGCGGGTTTAGGGGCGATATGCCAGGAAGGTGGTACTATGCACACTGGCCGGATCGGCGTGCAGTGCGGTTGATTTCACCGTCAAATGAGGCGAGCCGAGCACCTCTAACAAAGCCCATGACCAATGCCCCTCTACACCCTAGACCCTAAACACTAACCCTAAACCCTAAACCCTAAAACCCTAAAATCCTAGAACCCTAAACCCTAAACCCTAAAACCCTAAACCCTGAAAACTCTCAAACCCTGGCCTGGCAGTAGGGACTAGCTTGTGAAGCTTTGGCCAGCGCGTGCGGCTTTCCACCCGCAACGGACACGTAAAGCGTGGACCTGAGCTCGAATCATGAGCTCGAATCATCGCAGCTGCCCCTCAGTGCCTTACGACCAAAAACGATAATTACCGCCGTAAAGTAACACCCCAAACAAAAAAAACCGTAAGTAACCAGCCCTCCCCCCTCCCCCCACCACAACAAAATACACAGAGAGAGCGAGCGAGAGAGAGAGAGAGAGAGAGCGCGAGATAGATCATCTCCGTTCCTAAGCCCGAACCCCTTGAAAGCCTGAAGACGCAGACTGGGGAGCCAGCGGAGCTTGGGAGGACTTCTCCCAAAGCCTTAGGTTCTCAAGTAACCCAGGACTGAAAAACGTAACCCTTGCTCAGTCGGGTTTTTACATGGGAAAATATCCGGAGAAAGGTGTAGGGTTCCTGATTAAGCAACGAAGGGCAACTTAGGATCTAGGGCACTCTTAAGCAACCAAGACTAGGAGTATTGGGGTCCCTTTAAAGGGGAGGGGGTCCTACTAACTGGGGCACTATACTTGGGGTCCCGCCAACATAACCCCTTAACGGGGATATAACCAAGGGAAACAGGCAAAACCCTGAACCCTAAACCCTAAACCCTAAACCTTAAACCCTAAACCCCTAAACCCTATCCTGCTTTTGGGGTCCCAGAAGCAGGCATCCGCGAAGTTGCAGCTGCAGCGGCGAATCGTTACCTTCTGTGCATCTGGGGCGTCGGTCACATGCCCATATTTGCGATATGAGTGTCTAATTGTATAAGTTATGTGTATATATATATACACATTCATTCATTTATACCAAAATCTAATGTATTTGAGTAAGTGTCTACTGACATATAATCAATACAGAAAATAAAAAATGAGTAAATATTAAGATATCTATATATATATATATATATGGCTGTATAGTTGCACAATTGCATACTACTTGTATTATTGCTATATTCTTCTACACTAGTTTACTTTTTATCGTGTGATCTTGCCTCCGAAGGCGACTGGCTCCTTCGAGGAGATCCTCCTGGCGCCATCATCTTGTGTTTTTTTATTATTCCTTTTTTTGTAACAAAGTTTAGGGTTTAGGGTCTAGGGTCTAGGGTTTAAGGCATGATGACATCAGGGGCTTCCCCTACTACTCGCCCCCGTAGGTTCCCCCACCCCGCCCCCCCGCCTATAATTGAGGCTAATTTGGGGATAATTCGGCGTAATTGAAGTGATTTCAGGGGAGGAACCTAGGGCGGGGGATTAAAGAGGGGGGGTAGTAGGGGTAGTAGGGGAACCCCTGATGTCAAGTAAGAACTCAATAGTACATAGCATTGGGGCTTTATAATTACTATCAGTTTTTTTTTTTTTTTTTTTTGGGGGGGGGGGTTTGTTATCGTATAAGTGTACAGGGCCATAAGGGAATACTAGAAGTAATAGTTTCACCCCTATAGTAGGTGAATACTTTGACAATCACTACTGAAAAACCATAAAAGCAGCAGGCTCTTTCTAATCCGAGTATATGTTACGATCAGTAATGGGTTTGGGGGTTCTGGGCAAGAAGCGCCTGCAAAATGAAGCCCCGCATGATCTGTATCCCGGTTTCACACTTCGTAGAGGATCTCTATCGGCGATGCTTTGCATTCCCAGCCGGTCCTTTTCCACAGCTGCTGCGGCATCTTCCAGCGTCTGAAAACCCTATGAAAGGGGGAGCGCCGGGGGGAGGGGTGGGGGGAGGCGGGTGAGGACTCTAGTTGTGCAAAGGTGTGGCCTAACGACGTGTGCTGCCAGCATACTCGGGACTGAATGAACGAAAATTGTGGCAGGCTGAATACTTCAATGTGGCTGAGGTGGGGCGAGCTGCTTGGCGAAGTCTGTGACACCCTTGTGATGAAGATGCTGTGGGCTTGCTTTCGGGAGCTGAGGCTTTGCAATCCATGTTGCGCTCTCCCTCTTGCACGCTTGAAATGCTGGCGGAGAGCAGGTGTTGGTCTCGATGCAGATTCGCAAGTCATCGTGCTGAAAGTGGTTGCGACGCAGGCAAGGCAAACAGAGACGATATAGGGACCTTTTAATTAGAGGGTTTTGGAGCGGTTATGGTAGACTTATAAAGGGACCATAAGCGAATACTGACCCCCCCCCCCCCCTAAAACCCTACACCCTAAACCCACACCAGCAACCCCAGCTGTGCTAAGGCTTGGCCATATAGATGTACTCTTATATATATATATGTATCTATATATATATATATGTAGATATATATATAGATATATATATATATATATATATATATATGTAGATATAGATATATATATATATATGTGGGGGGGGTTTACGATGATAAGGGACCCCCCTTGCATAGGATTCCCGTATAAATAAGGACCCCAAGAAGGTACCCCCTAATATCGTAAACCTCCCCCAGAACTATCTGTTCTTATTCATCGTATGTGCAACATGCACCACTATTCTTTTTCTCTTCTTTAGCCGAAACCCTTGGCCCGCCAATCAAAGTCCATGTCAGCGTCGTCGTCGTCCTCCTCAGCATCATCCTGTGGTTCAGGGTGTTTAGGGTTAGGCTTCAGGGTTTGGGGGTTTAAAGGGTTCAGGGTTTGGGGTTTAGGGTTTAGGGCTAGGCCAGCTGTACGCAAGAGGAAAAAATAGTTAGAGGAGTCCCTTCTTGGGGGGGGGGCCTCAGAGGTGCGTAGTATAGGGCTCGGAATAATTGATTTCCAATATTACCTTGTCGTTTTTTTGTACACATACTAACATACCCCCCAACACCCTATGCCCAACCCTAGGCCCTAGACCCTAAACCCTAAACCCTAAACCCTAAACCCAGCGGGTATAACTTGGGACCCACTTTGGGGGACGGCTCCCTCGAGCCTCAGCGCTCTCCGCGACTGTCTCGGCTGGAGCCGAGGCTGAAGCATCTGTCAGGGTTTAGGGTTTAGGGTTTAGGGTTAGGGTTTGGCACCGAGAACACCAGATCCGAGAGGAACCGAGGAACGAAGCAGTTCGCCGTTTTGGTTACAACAAGTTTTGCTTGGTAGCCCTTAAAGCAAGGGCACCCTTTTTGGGCTGGTTACTTTAGAAGGGAGCCTCGAACCAAGAAGAGGTTACAGGGTACCACATTGGGCTACCAAGTTGATAGGCGAACCTATCCCCCCCCCGAAAGAGGAATACGGGCCCACTCTGGGTCCTAGGGTTTAGGGTTTAGGGTTTAGGGTTTAGGGTTTAGGGTTTAGGGTTTAGAGCACTAGTGTCTAGCCTCAAGATGGGTATTGCCTCAAAATCGGATACCCCGAAGAAACCCCAAACTGCTGTAATGCGCAATGAAGGAAGTCCACAAGTGTATCCCCTACTTTTGCTGCGAAATAAGCAGGTTCTTCTGTACACATCCGGCAAAGTTCCTAGCAATCCGAGCGCGAATCTCACAAACTCAGATCTGCTCTGTTTCGCCCGAGATTGTACATACGCATTAGGGTTGAGGGTTTAGGGTTTAGGGTTTAGGGTTTAGGGTTTAGGGTTTAGGGTTTAATTTGGGTATAGGGTTTGGGGGATGGAGGGAGCAACATGTCTCTGCCTTATCATCCTGGAGATGTATCAATGTAGCTACTTTTCGTGCTACGAGACGGCCGTGCATCCATGTGAACACATACACAACGGCTGGTAGGCTCAGATGCATGGAAGAAAGCAAAAGCACCTTTACAGCCCTCTGGGGTTGGGGTCTAGACGGCTTAGGGTTTAGCGTTAAGCCTAAACCCAAAACCCTTGAGTCCTAAACCCTAAACACCCTAAACCTAAACCCTAAACCCCAAACCCTACCCCGAAACTTCGGGGAGGTCGGCTTGTTTTTCACACGCCCGCCGCTCGCTGCATCTGGTCTTTCGCTTGGTCGAGCAGCTTTGCCTGCAATTGGAGGAGCTCCGCCCGAGAGTAGGCGACCTCGGCTTTCTACAACTACAAGATGTCCAGGTTACTTACAGGGTTCGGGGTCAGCCCTGTACCCTAAACCCTAAACCCTAAACCCTAAACCCTAAACCCTAAACTCAGGGCTTCGGGCTTCCCGCCCTGGCTACGTCATACATGGCCCCTGCAATGCTCCCCCTGGCTCATCCCGTTGTTGCACGGACACCTTGTGGTTCATGGTACTCTATAACTGTACCTAAAACCCACTTATAAGCCCCTTAAGTGCCCTAACATGGTCATAATTGGGTTGTAAGTACAGATATTATCCCTCAACCCTAAACCCTAAACCTAAACCCTAAACCCTAAACCTTAACCCTAAACCCTAAATTGGGTTATAAGTACAGTTGCTATTGGGTTAACCTCCAAGTACCTTGTGGTACTCCACAGGGCCGGGCGTGTAGTTCAAGCACGCGATCCTGGGTTGGCCCTTGAACCCTTTGAAAAAGGGTTTTGGGCTTTCGGGTAAGGGTTAAGGGTTTGGGTCTAGGGTCTAGGGTCTAGGGTCTAGGGTCTAGGGTTTAGGGTTTAGGGTTTAGGGTTTAGGGTTTAGGGTTTAGGGTTTAGGGTTTAGGGTTTAGGGTTTAGGGTTTAGGGTTAAGGATCCAGGGTTTAGGTTCCCAAAAGCCAACCTAGGATCTTGAACCCTGCCAGGACGGTTCCAGTGTTACTGCAGCAGGACAGGCAGCGCTTATCCAGGGAGATAATGGGAGCTGCTGCCTTGACCTAGGTTGCGCGAAAGGAGATTAAACCCTAAACCCTAACCCTAAACTCTAAACCCTCAACCGAAAAGCAAAGATATGTGTGGAAAGAATATCCAAAGGTCCTGCCTGGACACCTCTTTCTTCCGAGGGGTCTGGTCGATGTTGGGAAGGAGCCCCTCTCCCGCCCCCTTCTCGGGCTTACAGCCAAAGAGCGCCACGTTCTTCCTCGGCTAGTTTTCAAAGCTGCCCCAGGCTGAACAGTATTGGTAAACATAAGGGTCTAGGGTTTCGGGTTTAGGTTTTAGGGTTTAGGGTTTTAGGCTTTAGGGCTTCAAAGCCAAGAGGGGCAACCTGTAAAAGATGCCAAAGCATGCCCACTCACTACTACTTGCTTAAGAACCCTCCCCCCAAAAAAATCCCTACATTACCCTTATAAGAAAGATTTTGTTTTTTGTTCTTAAGCCCTTAACACAAAACCCTAAACCCTAAGCCCTAAACCCTAAACCCCAAACCCCAAACCGCAAAGCCTAAACCCGAAACCCGAAACCCGAAACCCTAAACCCTAAACCCTAAATCCTAAACCCAGCTTCCGATCCTGGTCGTCCTGGACGTTCATCTGTGCTGCGATAAGCTGACTCTCCACGATGGCGTACATGGCATCCCTCTCCTTGAGTCGCAGGGTTTAGGGTTTAGGGTTGAGGGTTTAGGTTTCAGGGTTCAGGGTTTAGGGTTTAGGGTTTAGGGTCGAATTTGCAGGCGAGCCAACCCATCTCTAAACACTCCAGGCTCTATGCGTGGGTTGACAGCTGCATTTGATCCAAGTCAGATGCGATCACGTGCTGTCAAATGCTGGAAAAATACAAAGTTCACATTGTTCCCAATTCTTTACAAGAAAAAAAATGAATCAAATCAAAGATCTTTAATATGAATCGTTCATGCGTTTGTACAAAAAACGAATAGCGTGTTATGAATCAAAAATTCAGTACAGTGCAATGAACGCAAGCAAGCTTATCATGTAAGTTGTGGTCCCAGGCCTTACTTGCATCCCACAGTTACCACTACCCTGGGATCATGCTCCCCTTTTGTTGAGACTCTGATTATTGATCTGCGAGTTTGAGGGCTTGGGGTTTACCAAGCGCCCCGAAGCTCTGAACCCTGAGACCCTACACCCTGAAATTCTCAACCCTCCTATACATTCCTATGGTAAGCCCTTGTGAAACTTTTTAAGGGGTGAACATCTGTTTGTTACCCCCGTCTGATTTTTTGGCCCTTTTTCATGTTGATATTTTTATCAGTTCTTTTTTTGGAGGGGGGGTGAGGGGGGGATGGGGCGGTTTAGGGTTTAGGGTTTCGGGTTTAGGATTCAACATACAGCCTCAACAAAAAAAGGGCAAAAAAGGGTCCCCCTGTTAAGCCTTTAAGGCTTAAGAGCCACTCTAGGCCCTAAACAACCCGAAGCCCCAAACCCCAAAACCCCAAACCCCAACCCCAAACCCCAAAGCCCCAAAGCCCCAAACCCCAACCTCCAACCCCAAACCCCTAAACCCTAAACCCTGAACCCTAAACCCTAAACCCTAAACCCTAAACCCAAAAAAGGACCCCCGCAAGGGCTTTGTGGCCCAGTCTCCAAGGACCGCGCCCGGTCATGTGAGGCCAGATGCTCCTCGTGGTCCTTCCAGGCTCGTCGCAGTTGCTGGACCTGTGGGTTGAGGGCGTAGGGTTTAGGGTTTAGGGTTTTTAGGGTTTAGGGTTTTTAGGGTTTAGGGTTTTTAGGGTTTAGGGTTTAGGGTTTAGGGTTTAGGGTTTAGGCTTTAGGGTTTAGGGTTAAGGGGGCTTAAGAAAGAATAATAGTAAAGCTATAGGCCCTGAACACTGAACCGCAAACTCCCTGCCTCCACGACGTACTGCTCGCTCACTGGGTCTATCTTCACTTTCTTCTCTAAGCCCAGTCTTAGCTCCTCAAGAAGGGCTTACCTGCTGGCTCTGAGTCGGGAATGAGGGGTTTGGGCACCTTGTCTTCCATTAGATTTACCCTTAAGCTCAGGGGTTGTAGAGTTTAGGGTGCCCCTGAACCCTAAACCCTAAACCCTAAACCCTAAACCCTAAGTGTTGAGGGCGTTTCGGGTTTAGCTTTCACAGTTTAGGGCTAAGGGATTCAACTCGGAGGGCTTTAGGGCTTGGGCTTAGGGCCTTGGGGTTTGTATGGCTTGTCGGGCTTGCAGGCTTTCATGTTCATATAGGGATCATTAGGGTGGCTGTCAAAATTCTGATTCCTTTTCGGGTACCCCAAGGGATCCGTAAATGGACAACCAGCCATTAGGGGCTTCTGCGAATTTTCCGGGTTTCTTTTTGCGACGCAGAACATCACACAGCACAGCACCCTACGTCGAAGCTCGAACATGTCCCTAAGGGTCCATGTACCTCACTATTACATACTTGGGCCCCAACAGTCCCTACATAGTACTCCCTACTTAGGTACGTGGACCCTTACTTGGAGGTTCATGGTACTGAATAACCCATTATAACTGTACTTATAACCCAAATGTGGTCATAACTGGGTGATCAGTGCAGGTATTATGGATTCATACGTAATTACAATGAACCCTAAACCCTAAACCCTAAAGTAGGATGTGCCCCCCCCGAACTCCTGGATCTGCTTGTCGAAGTCTTCCTGCAGCTTCTGGAGCTGCACACGCGCCTGATCCTCGCCGCCGCGGATCACTTGGCTGAGGCTCTCGTTCTGCTGCATGACCTTGGCTGATTTCTGAATCCGAACAACAAAGGACCCTAAACCCTAAACCCTAAACCCTGAACTTTTAGGCTCCTTCGTGTAGTTTCGAGCAAAACCCCAAAGGGCTATGAAGTCCTCTAAGAGCCAGCCAGGAGAAAGCCAAGTGACCTCGTCCAATCTGCCAATGTCCTGGCTACAGGATGCTCATGTGCGGCGTAGGGTTTAGGGTTTTCCTGAATTTAGGTGTACCCTTTTGGGGGTTCCTGGCTACAGGATGTTCATGTGCGGCTTACGGCCTAGGGGTTTTCTCCATAGGTGTACATTTTTTTTTTGGGGGGGGGTTCCTATGAGAAGGATTCTCGTATTGTGGTGTATACAGGGGGGGGGGGTCCCTGTTTGGTTGAGTATAGACTTTACGGGGGTTACAACAAGGACTATCAGCTAGAGGGTTGCTAGCGGGGAAAAACTTCGCCTGTAGGTCGCAAGGGGTTTTCTAACAACCGCAATCTAAAGGTCGATCCTGCCCAAAGCACTAAACCACAAGTCCCTAAATCCCCTCAAAACCCTAAAGACTAACTCTCAACCCTCAAACCTTGGGATGTTCCTCCTTATTATACTAACAGTCTAGGGATTCTAATGCGGGTACTAGAATCCCTATTAAGGACTGTTAGGTATGAGGGGGAACATCCCACCCCTAAACCCTAAACCCTGGAACGCCCCCAAGAGACCCTCCGCGCCTCGGAGTACTGTGTGCGCATGCTTGAGATCTGCTTGGAGGTGGATGTTGAGATCACTCCTAAGTTGGCCACTTGGGAGAAGTACCACAAGGTCCTCTCTCAACTCTCAACGAAAAGAGCCCGAAACCCTAAACCCTAAACCCTAAACCCTAAACCCTGAACCCTAAACCCTAAACCCTAAACCCTAACCCTAAACCGTAAACTCTAAACTTTAAACCCAACAAGGGGAAATGCATGTAAAGCTTCCCAACGACCTACCTAGACTCGCACGGCAGTCTGAAAGTGGCCCTTCACTTCATCCACGACGTGGTCGACCCGGAGTCTGGTTTAGGGTTTAGGGTTTAGGGTTTAGGGTTTAGGGTTTAGGGTTTAGGGTTTAGAGGTTTTTAGGGGTTTTTAAGGGTTTACAGGGTTTATAGGTTTTACAAGGGTTAGGGTTGACATGGTTTAGTGCAGAACTAGGGCAATGCCTGCTCCATAGGGAGGTTTAGGTGAGTACAGTAAAACCCAAAAAGTTGGAAACCTTTTTACGGCCAAATAGTGCTGGGATTCCCTGTACGTTACTCTTAGGGATTGGGGCTATTGAGTTTCCAACTTTTTGGCTTCTAAGTTCTACTATAGGGGTTGAGCAAGGGCATCAGGTTCTAGGAATTAGGACCAGAGGCATCATGTTTTTCATCCTGTCGTTTTTATCGAAGTCCTTTTGCTGAGGCCCTGTAGTTATCCTGCTGTAGCTTAAAGAAGTGGACAGCAAAGCCTACTCCACATGTTGGTGCCCCGTTGAGTGCGAGGCTAGGGCGATTTACCCTGCCCACGTCCTGAGGGCAGCCACAGCATCGGAAAGGTTGCGCTGAAACTCGATGAAGGTCTGCTGCTGCTCCTCTACTATTGCTTAAGAACCCCCCGCACAAAAAAAAAAAATATATATATAATCAAAAAACGTAATATATATATATATATATGCTCATAGCCCCCCCTCTCCTTCCAAGATCCATCTGCTTCCAAGCAGAAACGTGGATCATGGGGGGGGGGGGTGAGCATATATATATATATATGTATCTATATATATATATATATATATCGAGATCCCTCTATTACCTTGTAGGGAAGAATGTTTTATATTTTGTGGGGGAGGGGGGGTTCTTAAGCAAAGTGTGAACCCTAAACCCTAAACCCTAAACCCTAAACCCTAAACTCTAAACCCTCAACCGTAAACCCTCAACCCTGAACCCTAAACCCTTAACCCTAAACCCTAAACCCTGTCCTCTACACTGGCCGCTGAGGCTTTTGCTCGCCAGAGGTCGGCGACACTCTCCATGCTTTCCTTACTGTTGGGTTCGTAGGGAATGAGGGAAGGAGGTACCCTATAAAATCCCTTAAAGGGTATATATATATATAGGGTACCCTATATACCCTTGAAGGGTATATATATATATATATATATAGGGTACCCTATATAATTCCTTTAAAGGTATATTAAGGGGGGTATAGGGTACCTCATTCCCTCATTCCCTGTACTAACCAACAGCAAGCTTCCGCTGTGACCAATCCAATACGCTCCATCTCCGACTTCAGGTGGGCAAAGACAGTGGCCATGTTCCTTGGCTGCACTTAGGAGGGTAGCTATAAATTAAGAATCTTAGCTGCCTTACTAAGAAACCCAATAATCCCAAAAAGGCTAAAGATCTAAAGTTATAGTAAAGTACCACAAAGGTTCGTGACATCGTCTTGAAGCTTGAACTGGGTACTTTCACTTGCTGCCAACTTTGACTCTATCTCATCTCTCAGCTTCATGATCTTGTCCCTGTTCACGTCGACCCTTTCGCAGCAGTAGTCACGCAGCTGTGACACTTCATCTTTTGTTGCTGCAAGCAGGTCGCCTACATTCTTAAGACCGCGCTGGCACGCGTCTGTTGAGTAGCCTTGCACCTCAATCATCTTACGGAGGGCACTAAGCTCATTCTCCTGCAGGCAGGTTTTCTCGTTCAGGAGGTGCTCGTGGTCTCGCCGCTCCTTATCCCAGTCACAAAGCTCAGATCGGAAGGAGTCAATGGTCTTCTTCAAGCTTTCCTGGCTGGCGAGCTGCTGGTGCAGCTGCTTTAGATTCTCCGCGTTGCGCTCGGCCGACGCCCGCACTTCGCGAAGCTTTCCCTCGAAGAAGACAGTTCGTGAGATTGCCGGCTCTGTAAGCTCCAACGCGTGCTTGCGCAGGCGGGTCTCAATCTCTCCCGCCTCCCATACCTTACTGTTGGCTAGTAGGGGATGGGGGGAGTGAGGTACCCCATGTAATCCTTTAAAGGGTATATATATAGGGCGATATAGGGCCATAGCTAGGGTGGCCCGTTACAAGGCCTGAAAGTTTCAACAAGAAATCCTCTGAAACTGCCAGGATTGCAAAGGTCAATCCCCTTCAGCCCAAAAGGAGACAATAATGTGAAGTCCCTTGCACCCCAACAAAGGAGAATTTACATTGTCCCTAAACCCCCCGAAAAAGACAACATCAAACTCCGGAACCCTAAACCCTCAAAAAGGGGCAACTTAAAACATCTCCTCGGCTCCTACTCCTCAAAACACTACTCCCTAAACCACCCCACAAGAAGGCTAAACCCTAAACCCTAAACCCTAAACCCTAAACCCTAAACCCGAAACCCTAAACCCTAAACCTCAAAAATCTCCTAAGGCTCTACCTGGATACCAGAAGCGGCTTGGGGCTCTCCGAGGCAGAGTTGTTCTCTGCGTGGGCAGTTCTGGGTGACTCTGCATCTCCTCGCAAGTTCTTAGGGTTCTGAGGGCTCTTAGGGTTCTTAGGGTTCTTAGGGTTCTTACGGTTCTTAGGGTTCTTAGGGTTCTTAGGGTTTTTAGGGTTCTGAGGGTTCTTAGGGTTCTTAGGGTTCTTAGGGTTCTTAGGGTTCTTAGGGTTCGGGATTTAGGGTTTAGGGGTTTAGGGCTCTTAGGGCTTGGGGATGTTGGGGCTTCGGGTTAGCTTTAGCAGGGAAGTAGGGGCCCGAGTCTATGTCTATATATGTCTATACATATATATATATATATAAGTATCCTCATAGCCGGGGGATGAAAACTGAACCTAGATCCCCAAATCCTTATAAAGGAAGCCACTCACCGTCTCCTTGGGAGAGCAGATCAGATTCCAGCCCAGCGCCTCCCAGTCCTTCCATTCCTACGGGCTGGCGCCGTGTCTTACAGCTCCATGCCCATCTTGAGCAACGCTGCTGACATGCACGAAGGGCTCTACAGCCCTTTAATTAAGGAAGCTAGACCTTAAATCATATTCAGGACCTTTACATAAGTTGAGGTAGATCCCTTAGTTAAGAAAGATATACCTTAACTCATATCAAGGATCCCTATAGAAGTTAAGGTATCAGTCCTTAATGAAGGGGGTGTAGGGCTCCCTGGGTGCACAAATGATCGCAATGAGTAATCATCGTAATAATGGTCGAACAATAGTGGCCCCAGTAATTCTAGCAATGCAGCCCCAAACCCAAAGCCCTGAACTGAGCGCGTTCACAGGCTCCTGCCTTTCAATCTAGCACTGGCCGCTTCCCGAAGCTTCACCAGTCGAGACTGGAGCTGCGTCTGAAACTCCTGCTGAGTGGCTGCGCACAAGCCTACATTTTGCTTAAGAACCCCCACCAAAAACATGTCCTGTCTTGTAAGGGCAATGTAGGGATTATGATTGTTTTGTTTGAAGGGGGGGTTCTTAAGCAAATAGTCGGAACTTACCAGCAAGGAAACTAAACCCTAATCCCTATGTAAACCCTCTAAGCCCTAAATACCGGCTAGCTTCCCAGCCTTCCTGCAATTGCGAGGGACGCAGCTTCTGACACTGGGTCCTCTTCTTCCGCAGCCAAGACTTCATACTTTTTCTCGTCGATCTCATGCCTGCGGGCGCATATTCGGCCTAAACCCTAAACCCTAAACCCTAAACCCTAAACCCTAAACCCTAAACCCTAAACCCTAAACCCTAAACCCTAAACCCTAAACCCTCGGGTGTTTCGGGTTGGGGGAGCAGAGGTTCGGAGCGCAGCAGATGGGGTTGAGGCCCCGGGACTTGTCCATGACGTTGAGGGAAACAACATGCGGTTTGCGAAAATACAGGACCCCTAATCGGCCCTAAGGGTTTAGGGTTTAGGGTTTAGGGTTTCGGGTTTAGGGTCTGGGGTTTAGGGCCTAATATACACCCCCCAAATAGTAGGATCCCCTGATAGAAGGATCCCAATAAGGTACACTTACTTTCGGAAACCCCCCCTATACTCTCGGACACTCAAGGAACCAAAGGAGGTACCTGAAAAAGAGACCTTAGGGGTACTTTGGGGCTTAATTAGGGGCTACTTAGCTATAGAAGGACTATATAAGGTATATACAAGGGTTACATAGGGAATAAGATTAAGCTCCCTTCTAGGGGGCCCTCCTTTTCTCTCTTACAACTATTACCAGCACTGGGCTGCCTTGTTTCCTCAGCTTTCTCTTGCTCGGCGGCCATCTCTCTTTCGAACCCTGCCAGAGTCTGCATCTCCGTGCAGTCGTCATAGAACCCCCTAAGCCCTCCCTGAAACCTCGAAAATCCTAAATCCTTAAGCCCTAATCCCCTAAAACCCCAAATACACCCTAAAACCGTAAATAAACCCTAAAACCCTAAATCAACCCCTAAACCCTAAATAAACCCTAAAACCCGAAACCCTAAAGCCCTGAAACCCTCAACCTGAAGCCACAACCAGGATATCCCAGGGTCTGGCTCCCTAATACTCCCCACTACTCCCTAAGGCTCCCTGAGCTTCCCTAAGGTTCCCCAGGTACCCTAAACCCTAAACCCTAAACCCTAAACCCTAAACCCTAAACCCTAAACCCTAAACCCTAAACCCTAAACCCTAAACCCTAAACCCTATTTAAGAACCCTAGAATCTCAGGGTCTGACTGCGTAGGCCCTCCTCAAGCTCCCTCTCGGCCTTTCGAGACGGTGCCTGCAAGCGCATGCAACAAAGCAGTGAGGGTTTAGGGTTTAGGGTTTAGGGTTTAGGGTTCAGGGTTCAGGGTTTAGGTTTTGGGGTTTAGTGAGTTTAGGGTCTTAGGGTTTTATAAGGCGTTTAGGGTCTAGGGTTTAGTAGGCTAGGGTTTAGTGGCTTTTCAGTAGTTTAGTGGTCGGGGTTTTGAGTTTAGGGCTAATAAGGGTTAGAGATTTACGAGCGGAGTAGGGTTTAGGGTTTTAGTGGTCAGGGTCTAGGGCTGGCGCTTAGGTTTTGAAAGAGGCTTCTGCGGGGTTTCCTCTGAAATATCCTAAACCCTAAACCCTAAACCCTAAACCCTAAACCCTTTACCCTTAAGCCCTAAACCCTAAACCCTAAAGCCCTAAACCCTAAAGCCCTAAACCCTAAACCCTAAACCCTAAACCCTAAACTTGGTTGGGGGGAACGGGATGGCAGTAAGGGCCATGTAGTATACTAGGTACCCCAAAACGAAGATCCTACATTTGGGAGCCTGCCATCTCGGAGACCTCCCAGGAGGATTCGAGAAAAGTAGATCCCTTTAAGCGTTCCTAAGGATGACCCGATTGTAGTATAGGGTTGCTGCTTGTTGGGGATTAAGGGTTAGGGTTTAGGGTTTAGGGTTTAGGGTTTAGGGTTTAGGGCTTGGGTTTGGATCCTCTCAGGGGTCTGGGCTAGGGTTTGTGAGATGGAGGCTAAACGGGCCCTGCTTTGCTGTGCCTACTGTGGAGATTGCCCTGGACATCATCCCCAAACCCTAAACCCAAACCCTAAACTTTAAACCCGAAACCCTGACCCCTGCCTCCATTCCCCTCACTTTCGCATCCTGCTCCGGATCATCGAAGAACCCTTCGGGAAGGGCCTGAAAGCCAGGGAGGGTCCAATGAGACCCAAGGAATCCAGGGTTTAGGGTTTAGGGTCTAGAGTGTAGGGCTTAGTCTAGGAGCCTATGTACTTAGGCTAGGGTAAGGTTTTAGGGTTCAAGACTTGTGGGAAAAGACCTTTGGGTAGTACCATCCTCGCAGGGCCCAGCGTACCGCATCAAGTTCGCGCAGGAGTGCGTGGCCAGTGCATGCCCTTTCTCGGCCTGATCGCTTTCTGGGTCCGCATCTGCTTCGGCTTGGGTGGCCTTTGCTGCCTTGACGAGAACAGCCGCAAGCTCAACTATGCCCAAACTAAATCATGGCTTCGGCGTTCTACTTCAAACAAACTTGTTTCGCTGTGCTCTACACCTTGAGGTTCTGCAGCAATCCAGCAAGAACGCGGTTATCGTTTTGGGGGGCTTGTCGGCCTTGAGGTTTAGGGCTTGGTGCCTAACACTTGGAAAAAAGGAACTAGGGCACCGTTGAGGATCCTACACAACCCCAAGCCCCAAACCCCAACCCAAACTCCCAACACCCGAAAGCCAAAGCAAAAGGGCTGAGGGGGATTGAGCCCTAAACCCTAAACCCTAAACCCTAAACCCTAAACCCTAAACCCTAAACCCTAAACCCTAAACCCTAAACCCTAAAACCCTAAACCCTAAACCCTAAACCCTAGGCCCTCAGCGGATACCTCCGCAGCCACCATGGGCACCTGCTCGACAGCCTGCCGACGTCTTAGGGTTCTCTGATTTCATGATTCGGCCCTCACACATGCTCTGAACTTCCCAGGTGCCCGTGATGCCTTACTTAGTTGTCCAGTACCTAGGGGTTTTAAAGGTTAACGTTTGGGGTTATAAAGGGGATTATACTAACCCAAAAAGGTTCAAGGTTACCTACTCTACTACTACGCTTAACTTGTTTAGCGCAGGTTTGGGCCAGGGCAGGCTATATGGGCGGGTTGAAGGTTTCGTCGCCAGGGCAGGCTTGAGGAAACCCTGAGCTAAACACGCTGTCCATGGCCGCGAATTCGCAGGGACAAGCTCAAGCCATACACACGCGACGGCATCTGAGGCAACAAGCCCTAAAACAGAATGCTTGTGAGACAGGCGGTAACATCTCAAACACAAACAAACCTCCGCATGCCGATCTACTATGAATCGGCATTTCAACTGTCGGGTTGGTCCTGGAAGCATTTCCAGAACCACGCAACTCACAACCCAACATTTCTGCTATCCCACAGCGCACCCTAGTGTCTATAATGTCGCATGGATCGGCGTAAGGCGTCGCCAACATGATGGAGTCAAGTTTGGTACATCGATGCATCGCAAGCCATCTGCAGCCATTACCTTCTACAGAATGAGAATGCAGTCAACCCTGCACCCTAAACCGTGGGACCTTAAGATGTGGATCCCAAAAAATCACAACCCGAAGCTTTGGAAACACATCGAACTCAAAGCCTCAACTCTTCCCAGATCCCACTTTGGCCTTGGAAGCCCAGCAACCATAGTGTAAGTGTGCCGTTCGGTGTGGCTACTCTTCTAAGGGAACCCAGAACCCAAAAGAGCAAAAGGTAGCAACCAGCTACCACGTGCAGAAATCTGCTGGCCCTGTCTCCTTAAACCCAAAGCCGGCGCGAGGGCACAAGCCTTTCAAAAAGATGTCCGCCACCACGCTTGAATGCATAATGGGAAAGCTCCGATCGGCACTTGGCCCAAAAACCAAATCCTCGCACCCTAAACGCTACTTTACGTCATAGTCGAGCAACGATTGCAATCCGAACTAACTAAACTGTTGTGTTTTTGTATGACGCTTGAGTTGGGTGCGGAACCAGGCACAAGCAACGCACAACATGCAAAAGATGTGATAGATATGGCTCTGCCCAGAGCTGAAAACACACATTGACAAAGGCATGGCAGTACCGTGGCCTCACCCGCATACGAACAGCGTGAGACCCCTTCCGACGACATGGGTTAAAACATTCGCGCCTCGACACCCTCATCCCAAATAAACCCTATTCTGGACCCAGGAGTAACCTAGGAATAAAAATGGTATCCTTTTGTGGTTTTAAGACGGTTATAAGGGAACCCCAACCCTAGAAAAGTACATAAGGGCCTACTCCGGGTCCTAGTATTCGCCCGAATCATAATCCCTACACCCTGGTCTACAGGTTGAAAGACCTGCGCTCGTGTGAGGCCTGAATCAAGCCGCGACCCCCCAGCAAATCCCACAAGCCCCCTAAACCCTAAACCCTAAACCCCAAACCCCAAACCCTAAACCCTAAATCCCTCATGCCTAAGCCCCATCTCAGAAGCAATATCGATGCTGAATTCGGAATTGGTAGTAAGGATAGATGTAATTCATTTTTTACGATTCATCCGCTTTCCGAACTTAACAAGCCAACCACTATTGTACTTGTTGTTTGTGATGGTATTCGTTCATCGCATACATCTGTTTAACCCACAACAATGGAATTTGCAGATTTCTCTCGATTCGGGCCCCTGTTGGTTTAGGGGTTTAGGGGTTTAGGGGTTTAGGGATTTAGGGGTTTAGGGGTTTAGGGGTTTAGGGGTTTAGGGGTTTAGGGTTTAGGGTCTATAACCCCAACCCCTAAACCTCTAAGAAAGGCCCAAGAGACCCTGAAGCCACATATTTAAATCCATCAAGCCACCAGACGCCCAAATTCGAAAGCTCCCAACCCAAAGCTCGGCCCCAAAACTAAAGCCCCCAGACCCCAAAGCCTTAAGCCTGAAAGGGTTTAGGGTGTAGGGTTTAGGGTTTAGGGGTAGCCCGAAACCGTTCAGGAACCCAAGCTCCAAGTTTCCCCCCGGCCTGCAGCTGAGCTCCCGGGGACGGTGCTACCGCAGCCTGCGGTGCGTAGACTTATCGCATCTTATAGGTTTGAACCCTAAACCCTAAACCCTAAACCCTAAACCCTAAAATTGAACGGGTCTTAAAAGGGCTTGGTCTGAAAAGTTTAGAGGGTTCAGAGAGTGGTTTTAAGGCTTTAGAAGGGTGTAAAGGGTTTGGGGCTTGAAGGGTTTAGGGTTAACAGGGTTTAGGTTTTGAAGCATTTAGGGTTTAGGGTTTTAGCTTTAGGCTCGGGTTTGGGTTTACAGGGTTTATAGGGTTTACAGGGCTTATAGGGGTTATAGGGTTTATAGTGTGGTAGTGTGGGGGGGGGGGGTGGTGGGACGTGGGGTGTAGGAGTCTTGAAATGATTGATGCTCCCCCGTACTGCCGATGGTTCCTGAGGTTCAATATAAACAATGTACCTCCTTGAACCAAACAGAACCCCATGAAACAGACCCCTAAACCGTAAACCCTAAACCCTGAACCCTGAACCCTAAACCCTAAGCCCTAAACCCTAAACCCTAAACCCTAAACCCTGAACCCTGAACCCTAAACCCAAACCCTAAACCCTAAACCCTAACCGCAGAAGTGGGCTCAGACTGGTGGATGACATGCCCACCCACCTCCTCTTCTGCAGCAGCCTCGGCGCTGTCGTTTTCAACGGCCGCAGTGGCAGGAGCGGGGGCAGTCGCGGTGGGGCTCTGCTTCTCCGCGTCATTGACGTCGCTGGGTCGCGCCTCCTTGCGCGGAAGAGCGTGCAGGAACACATGCCACAGCGTGGATATTGCACAATGCGATGTAAATATAACACGGCAACATAGCCTAGCGTAGCATGCATACAAAACAACGCACCAAAACTAACACAATACCACAAATCCACGATTATACAACACAAGAGTAGCCAAACACAAATAGGAAAACACTATGAAAACATAAACTGATATGACATTGTAAAGTAGCACGAGTAAACAGAGCTGCTTTATAGCGTAGTGTGGCTTTAAACGGCTTAATTTGAAATTCCCATCATATGGAATTTGCTACAGGATATATCAAGCTGTACAACATGTCAACTTACTCTGGTTTATGCGGCTATGTTTTTCACATAACATCATGCGATGAAGTACAAGACATGTTACAGCTTGTTAGCTAACGTTCTACTCCATTGTAACATATTCTGCTATATGCGGCTATACCTGATTAGAAGACATTGTGTCATGCTGTACTAGCCCTAAACCCTAAACCCTAAACCCTAAGCCCTGAACCCTAAACCCTCAACCCTCAACCCTAAACTCTAAACCCTTACCCCCCCCCCCCCCCCCCCTAGTATGGTGTTCTCTGATAGTCGATGACAGCCTCTAACTGCCTCTTGTGTTCTATGATGTTCGATGCAGTTCGATGTGTTCAAGATCCCAAGATGCTCTGTTACATACTGGAAATATATACTCTACCTATACCAAGACCTATACCTATACCGCCTATACCTATACCTATACCTATACCTTTACCTTTACCCATACATACCCATACCATACTTTACTAAAATACAATGCAAAACTATACTAGACCAGACTGGGCATGCCTGTACACATATATCACTGGAACAGCAGCGGCACGCACGAGCGCAAGCACTGCTCTCCTCGGGAGCCTTGGCTGAAGCTAGGCGCGAATTCTTCGGCAGCGCCTTCTCAAGCAAGAGGGGGGGTTTAGGGTTTAGGGTTTAGGGTTTAGGGTTTAGGGTTTAGGGTCTAGGGTTTAGGGTTCAGGGTTTAGGGTTCGTCGAGTTTTAAGCTCATTTGGGGAACTTCAGCATTCTCTAAAGTTATGGGTTTTCTGTTTCAGGGTATAGGGTTTAGGGTAGTATAAGTGCCTGTCTAATAATACGAACCTGAAAAACACCAGACGGTAGAATTAACCCACTCAAGTTCTTGTCATGGGATGTGAGCAGCAGTTCTCCTACCTGCCCTGCGATCACGGCTGACCGGCCCACACTCCCGGGACCCTAAACCTAAACCCTAAACCCCAGTACCTCCTCCCAAGTTCCTATCTCTCAGGCTCCTTCCTGTCTCCCGACTTGGCGGATTTGGGGGCTCAGTAGCGTTCTTAAGTAGGACAACCCCTTCTAGGGTCCCTTTTGGGGAACTCATACCTCTACTTTGTGCCTGATTACGAAGTCCCCCCGATCCTCCAAGTAAACCCTACACTAGGCTGAGGGTTTAGGCTCTCAGGGTTTAGGGTTTAGGGCCCTACACCATCCAGCCCTACTGGTTTAAGCTTGGCACCGGGGGCGGCATTGCCGCAGATTCGGCTCGGGCGCCTTGGCTCCACAGAACTCAAAAACCTAAAGAACCCTAAGCCCTATACCCTATACCCGAAACCCTAACCCCTAAACCTTACCTTGCCGGACACCTTAAGGAGCCCCAAGCTTAACTTTTGTGGGCCATTGCTGCAAAAACCGCCTGTCTAGGATTCGTAGGCAAGCTAGAAAAGGAACAGGTGTTGGGCACTTGCAGTAGGGGTCCGGGGGTTTTGTGGTTTAGCAAAGCTTGGCATGTGTATGTAACACAGAGCCCAAATTACGCGAAGAACTTAGGATGGTTTAGGGATGAAAATTTAGGGTTCAGGGTTTTAAACCCTTAACTAGCCTGGGTTTGCCTTCAAACCAACTGAAAAATATTCATCTAGAGGGTCCCTGCTAAACCCCCCAGAAAAAGACAATTCAACATATCCCCAAAAGCCAGCAGACCCTCAACCTCGGGATCTTCCCCCTTATACTGACAGTCCTAAATAGAGATTCTCGTACCCCCGCCCCCCCTGTTATAATCCCCACTAAGGAGCTGTTAGTATAAGGGGGAACATCTCAAAAGCCAGCACACCCTCAACCCTGCAAGCAAAAGCAAATGGAACATATCCCCAAAGCCAGCAAACCCTCAACCCTAAATCAGGAAAATCGCAGGTATCCCCAAAGCAAAGAAACCCTCAACCCTCAACCCTCAACCCTCAGCCCTCAACCCTCAACCCTCAACCCCAAACCCTAAACCCTAAACCCTAAACCCTAAACCCTAAACCCTCCCAAAAATAGAGTCCCAGGGGCGCTTCGCCGCGATCTCTGCCGCCTTGGCCTCTTGCTTCCTCTTGAGCACGGAAGGCACTGCGGTGTCCTGGCAACATTTAGGGTTTAGGGTTTAGGGTTTAGGGTTTAGGGTTCAGGGTTCAGGGTTTAGGGTATAGAACCCTGAACTCTGACCCCTAAACCCTAAGCCCTAAAGTTTGCGTGTTCACGGGGGATCCAAGGGCTTGCGTCCCGCGGCTTTGGGGGCGGCAGGGGTAGGATTCAGGGGTTCAGGGGGTGTCTTGTGAATGTTTGGCTGTGGGCAAGGTGCTATAGGACTCATGGATGAGCATGCAAGAATGTTGCCGCAAGGCCCTGCCTGTCCACGTCGCGCTTTCTCCTGCTTCGTCCTGAGGATCTGCTCAGGCCCCCTCCCCCCCCCCCCCCGAAAACCCTGTAAACCTTGGGTTTCGGGTGTTTTTGTTCAAGCACGAAGAGGTAAAAACCGGCAGCCAATGGTGCCGGTTGCTTTGGTGACACTGAGGCCGGTGCAGCTCCCTGAGCTTCTTTTGATCCATTGCCACCTCGTGGTGGGGAGTAGGGGTAGGAGTAGGAGTAGGAGTAGGAGTAGGAGTAGGAGTAGGAGTGTGGGGAGTGATTTCTCAAGGTTTTGGTGGAGTTTCAGGCTTCTGCGGGTTGAAGGGTTTTTGTAGGGTTTCTAGGGTCTATTGGGCTTCTAGCAGTTGAGGGTTTTTGGGGGTTTAGGGTTTCAGGGGTCAGGGTTTCTTTCCTCCGGGCTGACAGGATGGAGAGAAGAATTTGCTTGGCTTCCTTGGGGAAAGGAACCCATGGGCTTCGCAAAACAGGGGTAGCCTCCTTCTTCTTCCTCTTCTTCTGATTCTTTTTGAGGGGGCTCTTATAATAAGGTATCATATGTTGGGGCTGTGTTGAGGGTATCCCTGTTTTAGGATACCGCCCCGTTTAGAAGCCCCAAACCACAAATCTCATGGAGGATCAGGATTCCGAAGATGGGGTAGAAGCTTGAACCCCTAAACCCCTACATCCCTAAACTGTTCAAACGCGAAACCCTTGAAACCTAAACCCTAAACCCTAAACCCCAAACCCCAAACTCCAAACCCCAAACCCCAAACCCTAAACCCTAAACCCTAAACCCGAAACCCGAAACCCTTAGCCGGCCTAGGTTGGCGATTGCGGCGCGGTCTCCTGGGCATTGGCGACTGGGGCCCTAATACCGCCTGGCGAGGAGCTTGGGCCGGCCCAAGGATACGAAGAGGTACATGCCAAAGTGCCTGCACAGATTAGGGTTTGGGGTTTGGGGTTTAGGGTTTAGGGTTTGGGGTTTGGGGTTTGGGGTTTGGGGTTTGGGGTTTGGGGTTTGGGGTTTGGGGTTTGGGGTTTGGGGTTTACCTTTCAGGGCTCAGCGTTGTCAGCGTTTAGGACGTCTAGTTTTAGAGTGTCTGTCTCGACAAACTCTGCTCTTGCAGGAGGAGTCGGGCAAGGGCTTTTGCTCGCAGCTTGAGGCGACCTCCACTCTTTGGCGAGGCATGAACCCTCAACCCTAAACCCTAAACCCTAAACCCTAAACCCTAAACCCTAAACCCTAAACCCTAAACCCTAAGCCCTAAACCCTAAGCCCTGACATCTGCCAAGCTACGGTGGCCCACTCCGCTCCCTGCAGGGTAACCTTTGGCGCATCAAGCTGCGCAATAAAAAGCAAGGAGCTGCAGAATGGGTGAGAATCAATGGTCGCCTCGGGGCGCCTCACTTGCCTCGCGCAGGCACAGGGCGAGAGAAGGACTTACACCCTAAACCCTAAAACCCTAAAACCCTGAAACCTTAAAACTTTAAGACGCAAAATCCTAAACCCTAGAACCTGTAGCTTTGTCTTCCTAAACCCTACAACCCAAACTCCCGCGGGCTTTGACCTCCCGGCGGCCTCCGCGCCAGTACTCCAGGACAAGCTGCTGGCCTTTCCTCGGGTTCAGGGCCTAAAGGGTCTGGGGTTTAGGGTTTAGGGTTTAGGGAGGGTTTAGGGTTTAGGGTTTAGGGTTTAGGGTTTATAAGGTTAGGGTTTAGCGTTGAGGGTTTAGGCTGGTGATTCTTACTTCTTTGCTTTTTTGTTAGAGACCCGACAGCAGCTCTTAAGGAGAAGTTAACCTGAATCATGTGGAAGGGGGGTGGGGGGGGGGGGTTAGGGTTTAGGGTTTAGTGGTTTAGGGGCAAAGTAGAGGTCCCCTTTTTGGGGTTCCTATCATAGTAGTGTGTTTAGGATTTAGGGTTTAGTGGTTTAGGGTTTCGGTTCAGGGTTAAGTGATATTTAGCTTGGGATATTCCCCCTTATACTAACAGGCCTTAGTAGGGACTATAATCGGAGGTACGATCATCTCTATTCAGGACTGTTAGAAAAAGGGAAAGACCCAAAAATTTAGGGAAAAAAGTGGAGGGGGCAGCTGAAGTTGAAGCTACCCGCCTTATAGCCCCCCCCCCCCCCCCCCAACTACTTAGTCAAGGAGGAGGGAACCTAAACCACCTGAAGTACTTTTGTGCAGCTTCTCATAGGGTTCTTAAGTAAGCAGCAAAAAATAGCAGGTTTTGGGTTCTTGAGGTCTTTCAAGGACACTTAACTGTGGTACGCTCTGGCAATTTCTCCTGCATGAAGGAGTCATCTGGTCATTTCTCGAACTGATGGTCCCCAAAGGCCCTTAATTGCTTGCCCCGCTGGGCACCCAGGCCCAGAGAGCCCGATACCCCCTTAGAATGAAGGACTGTGCCCCTTAATTCAGAATAGGCGGGGTCCCTTGATAGTTGAAGGTATCTACAAACCCTAAACTGCCTTATTGGTTTAGGGTTTGGGGGTTAGGAAAGTTTTGGGGTTAAAACGTAGTACAACCCATGATGAAAGGGGGTAGTGGGCTCTCTGGGTCTCGGAGCCAAACAACCCTAAACCCTAAACCCTAAACCCTAAACCCTATCCCCCAAACCCCACACCCCAAACCCGAAACCAGACTCTGGGGTGCCATGAAAGAGGCGTGATGGCCTTGCCATTCAAGGCAGACAGGGCCTTGGCTTTAGGTTTGGTTTAGGGTCTTGGGGTCTAGGGTAATCCTAAACCCTAAACCCTAAACCCTAAGCCCTAAACCCTAAACCCTAAACCCTAAACCCTAAACCCTAAACCCTAAACCCTAAACCCTAAACCCTAAACCCTAAACCCTAAACCCTAAACCCTAAACCCTAAACCCTAACCCAAAACCCAAAACCCTAAATCCTAAACCCTAAACCCTAAACCCCGTGAGGGTCATGGCTCCTTTGCCCTGTGCTAAGGAAGGCTCACCATTGAAATCCATGCTTGCCTAGGACTTGTATCATGGGACTCAGCCTTGGGCCCCTGAGGTTGTACCGTTAGTGCTGGGGACCCTTTTCAATCATCCTCTGAGGGAATATAAGGGCCATACTGGGAGTATATTCAAGGAACCTCCTGGGGCTACATCCTTAAGGGTGTCCGAGGATAAGGGTTCAGGGTTTAGGGTTTAGGGTTTAGGGTTTAGGGTGTAGGGTTTAGGGTTTAGGGTTTAGGGCTAAGGGTTTAGGGTTTAGGGTTTAGGGTCAAGAAGGTCACAAAACCCGATGCACCCTGAACCCCAAATCCTGAACCCCAAGAAGCCCTAAATCCTGAGCACTGAGCCCTAAGCCCTTCCCCTAAACCCTAAACTCTAAACTCTAAACCCCTAAACCCCTAAACCCTAAACCCTAAACCCTAAATCCAAAGCCCTAAGCCCCCAACAAAGCCCGGAACACCCCAACGCTGGGGATGCTGGGCCGAGTGGCTGCAGCAGCTTCTTCTGCGCTCCCCATCTGCACAAGGAAGGCGGGCCTCTCACCCAAACGGCTTAGGGTTTAGGGTTTAGGGATAGGGTTTCGGGTTTAGGGGGTTCAGGGCTGCGTCTTGACGGTCCTACGTCCTATGCCCTGAGCCACACACCCTAAACTCCAGGCTTAGGGCTTGTAGGGCTTAGGGCTTCTAGGGCTTATAGGGCTTATAGGGCTTCGGGCTTATAGGGCTTATAGGGCTTGTGGGGCTTAGGGTAAAGCCTTGTGCCCCAGCAATGGCGCCGAGGCAACCCTAAACCCTAAACCCTAAACCCTAAACCCTAAACCCTAAACCCTAAACCCTCAACCCTCAACCCTCAACCCTCAACCCTCAACCCTCAACCCTCAACCCTAAACCCTAAACCCTCAACCCTAAACCCTAAACCCTAAACCCTAAACCCTAAACCCTAGTTGCGCCGAGGCGTGGGCTTGTCAAAGCCCGTTTCTGCAGCGGTCAGCGGTCGGAGTTGGCGGACTTGCCCGTGTGGCTTGAACCAGAGCTGCCTTGTCTTGCTGGTTTAGGGTTTAGGGTTTAGGGTTTAGGGTTTAGGGTTTAGGGTTTAGGTTCTTAGAAGGGAATGAGGTTGCCCTACAGTCCCCCTATATATTCCCCTTTAAGGGGTTATGTAGGGTACCTCCCACAGCTGCCTTGTCTTGCTGGTTCTTGGTAGGGAATGAGGGAATGAGGTCCTATATCCCCCCTATATATATATGTATGTATGTATATGTATATGTATATATGCATATATATATATATATATATATGTGTATAGTATATACCCTTTAAGGGATTATGTAGGGTAATGACTTAATTCCCCCAGTCCCTATTACGAACCAGGGGGGTTCTTGGACGTCAGGGCTTTCTACTTGGAAGCGCGTTCGCGGTTAGTAAGGTGCCTTGAGGGTATCCCTATTTTGGTATACCGCCCCGTTTAGAAGCCCCAAACCACAAATCTCATGGAGGATCAGACTTTCGAAGATGGGGTAGAAGCTTGAACCCCTAAACCCCTACATCCCTAAACTGTTCAAACGCGAAACTCTTGAAACCTAAACCCTAAACCCTAAACCCGAAACCCTAAACTGAAACCCTAAACCCTAACCCTAAACCAGGTTTCGAGGGGGTACTACGTCGACTTACTAAGCCGAGACGGCTTCCAAGCAGGGCTTTAAGGCCGAAGGGGTTGTGAGATTCCGGGTGTTAGAGTTTAGGGTTTGGGGTTTAGGGTTTAGGCCTTAATCAGGTTTTTGCAACATCAAACTCCAGGAGCATTTTAAGGGGTATTCGAATTACTGGGGTTTAAGCCTCTGCTCTCAGGAGGCGCCAAATATCAACAAAACGTGAGAAAACCCAATGGAAAGCCGAGGCGCATCACCATCTCGTGCATACCCGGGGGTGCTCCAGTCATGCAGATACATTCAGTTGGCCCCGGGTCGGGAGCCGTACCTGAGGCAGGGGAGGCTTTTTCAAGGTTTGGCCGTTTAAGACTTTAAGTGTTCGGGAGTTGTGGCGGCTGTTGTGAGGGTCTTGTAGGGCGTTTGGGCCTTTTGGGGGGGTTGGGGGCAATGGGGGTGTTGTCGGTCTGGGCGTCGGTCGATGTTGAAGAAGAGTGCAAAGGCACGTCAGACAAAGCAGCGCGTGCCTTCCTCCTCTTCACTGGCCCATGCTTCCCATGACTCTTTGTCATCATCCTGGTCAGCTACCCAAGCCTGATATAAATCCGCTAGACCCTCAACCTGGAAACTCTGATGCCCCGATGGTAGAAGCCCCAAATCCTCATGCGATTCATGCGCGCCCTGCTGAAACTCCACTGGCTTGACAAGAGGGATTCCGAAAGTGACCCTCCCGCCCCCCTTCCCACACCCCTGAGCACCCCCTCCACCCCTGAGGCCCGCCCCCTTCCCCCGCCCCCGCACCTGCCACATATCCATACGCCTGAGTCCCAAAGAGAAGCCCTGCTACATCAGACCTGTCTTGCAGGTGACCTAAGAATCCTCTCCTTTGCGGTTGTCTCGCAGCCTTCTGAAAAGTAGGTTTTGGGCTCTCCTCTACACTACCCACCAGCCCTAAACCCTAAACCCTAAACCCTAAACCCTAAACCCTAAACCCTAAACCCTAAACCCTAAACCCCTACACCCAAACCCCAAACCCACCAACACCTTGGACCCTCTCCTCCTCTTGGACGACCGGCTCTGGCTGCGCTTCTTCTGCAGTGGGAGCTTCTTCTGCAGTGGGAGCCTCTTCGCCAGGCTCCTCCTCGCGAACGGGGGCTTCCTCCTCCACAGCGGCCTGGAACAGGGTTTAGGGTTTAGGGTTTAGGGTTTAGGGTTTAGGGTTTGGGGTTTGGGGTTTAGGGTTTAGGGTTTGGGGTTTAGGGCTCGAGTGTAATTGGCACCTCGGGGGTTTAGGATTGCGTCTTTAGCTTTAGGGTTTCAGGGTTTCTTGGTTTCGGGTTCAGGTGTAGGGTTTAAGGGCTCACGGTTTAGGACTTGGGGTCCCTAAACGCTCGGGCTTCTAAAGCCCATACACCCTGTAAGCCCGAAGCCCCCAAAAGCCCCCCTGGACGCCGAGGTGCGGCTTCCGTGCGAGGCTTGCGCTTTGCGAGCGCGACACGGCATGCGTCTAGCAACTGCGCGTCACTGATGCCTGCGAGGGGCTTTGGGGCTTAGGGTTTCGGGTTTAGGGTCACGTGGGGACTTGGGGTGGGTTCGGATTTATGGTTTATGCTTTATGGCTTTATGGCTTAGTGGCTTTATGGCTTTATGGCTTTATGGCTTTATGGCATTCTGGTTTATGGATTATTTATGGTTTATGGTTTATGGTTTTGGGTTCACGGTCGCTGGGGTGGTTGTTCTTTCTGACTCGGGGCCCTCTTCGGCGACTCGTTTGTGCAAGGCATCCTATTACGAAAGATGTCCAGAAGGCTGCGCGCCCCCCAAACCCTAAACCCTGAATCCTAAACCCTGACCCCCAGTACTCCTTCACAAAGCCCTGCAGGGTTTGTCACTCAATCCTAGACCCTAAACGACATGCGGGTCGAGAAACCCCTCGAAACGCGCCACTCTCAATGCTACAGCCCCCAAACCCTCAACCCTAAACCCTAAATCCTAAACCCTAAACCCGAAACCCTAAGCCCTAAACCCTATAAACCCTAAACCCTACACCCTAAACCCTACACCCTAAACCCTAAACCCTCATCATGCCTGTGCCGGGCCCTGGTCGCACAACTTCTGTGCCATTCAGGCTGCTTCTCGCAGCCTGAGGGTGTTTAGGGCTCAGGGGTTTACAGGGCCCACAGGGTTTACAGGGTTTGAGGGCCTACAGGGCTACAGGGTTTACAGGGTTTGTAGGGTTCTGTTCGGATTTATAGGGCCTACAGGGTTTACAGGGTTTGTAGGGTTCACAAGGGTTATGGGCTTTATGGGGTTTTCGGCGTCATGTTAGGGTTTCGAGGGGATAGAGCGGCAAACTCAGGCAGTTCAACTTCTGAAGAGGCTGCCAGGCTTTGCCGTGCGATAACCCTCATTCCTCAAGCAGACAGAAATGTACCCTAACTCAGACCCCCCCCATGTACCCTTTTACCCTAAACCCTCAAGCCTAAACCCTAAACCCTAAAACCTAAAGCCTAAACCCTAAACCCTGAACCTCTCTTTCATATATAATTTAAATGTTAATGAGTTACTGGGCAAGGTCTTTTTTTTCCTGGGCAAGGCCGTTGGTCCAAAAAAACAACCTTGCCCAGTAAAAACATGACCTTGCCCAGTAAAAACATGACCTTGCCCAGTAACATTTTTACTGGGCAAGGTCATTTTTATTGGGCAAGATCATTGTTTTACTGGGCAAGGTCATTTTTTTGCTGGGCAAGGTCATTTTTCTTACTGGGCAAGGTCATTTCTTATTGGGCAAGGTCATTTTTTTACTGGGCAAGGTTTTTTTTTGCTGGGCAAGGTCATTTCATTTTTTAGTGGGCAAGGTCATTTTTTGCTGGGCAAGGTCATTTTTTTTGCTGAGCAAGGTCATTTTTTTACTGGGCAAGGTTATTTTCTTACTGGGCAAGGTCATTTTATATTGGGCAAGGTCTTTATTTTACTGGGTAAAGTCGTGCCATAAGTGAAATGTTTCTTAATGTTGTGGGATTCTTTGGGCGGGTCGGTATTTTCTGGAGTATTTTATTGACTAGAGACTGCTTGGACTTGAAATGCTGAACCCTAAACCCTAAACCTTAAACCCTAAACCCTTAACCCTAACCTTGATGAGGGGTATTTGCAGGGTTACTACCCACCTCTGGGCTGGGCTTCTTCTTGGCCATGGCCGCCCGGCAAGCTTCGAGCAGCCGCGACTTGTCCAGCCCTGGGGGTTTAGGGTTTAGGGTTTAGGGTTTGGGGTTTAGGGTTTAGGGTTTAGGGTTTGGGGTTAGGGTTTAGGGATTAGGGTTTAGGGTTTATATAGGGTTTAGGGTTTAGGAAGCCGCATGAGGTGGCACCCTCAACAATACTGTAAACCCCTGAAGCAAGCTTTGGCGGTGCTCTCCGGTGCCTGATGCCTGAGACTCTTCTGGGGCTTCCTCCTCTGCATCGTCCACTGGACCATGCCAATACTGCAGCAGCAGGGGTTTCCCCTGACCAAGCCAGCACGCTTGAAACCGACAAACATTTGGCCTGCTACCGCTGTATGTCTGGCAGAATCTGTAGAACAACATGCGTAGGTCAACGCAGCTGCATATGAACACCATTATGTATGTACATATTTCTATACACACATGCACATGCTGCTAGCTGAATATGTCTGCATTAAGCTATCACCAGACGAGGCCTTCATGACCGACTTGCCGTTGAGAGCGTCGACGGCGTTGATGGCCTGCGCCGACTGCTCTCCAAGCTTTCTCGGCAGAAGCTCGGCCCTGTCCCAGCCTCTTCCAAGCAAGACATTTGCACCAGGAAGGCCTCCGAGCGAACAGATCCAGACAAAGAGCACTCAATCTTGGGTTTTAGGGTTTAGGGGTTTAGGTGCAGAAATGCTGCCTGCCGTCCAGGAGTGGATGCTCGCCACAAAGGCCGCATGTCGACAACGTGGCCGTAGGGTTTGAACCACATCAGCCTCAGCAGACATGTGCGGAAATACCCCCATAACCCTAAACCCTGAACGCTAAACCCTAAACCTTATGACCAGGCATATTGAGGGTCCAAGGGTGCGTCTACATTCTCAAACTCTAGGCTGCGAACTCCTTGCACTCTTAAACTCTAGAACCATAGAGCCGAACCATTTACAAGAGAAAAATCCTGGAGAAAAAACTCCAACTACGGCCCCAATTCCTAACACCCTAACCCCCAAATAACCCTTAACCCTAAACCCTAAACCCTAACCCCTAAACCCTAAACTCTCTACGATAGCCCTACTGGGCCAGCGGCATGACAGACTCGGGGAGGCCTGTCGGAGCATCCTGGCACTAGGGATTAGGGGGTTAGGGGGGTTTTGGGGTTTTGGGGGTTAGGGGTTTAGGGTTTAGGGATTATAGGGGGTTAGGGGTTCATGGTTTTGTGGGTTTAGGGTTTTGGGGTTTTGGGGTTTTGGGGTTTTGGGGTTTTGGGGTTTTGGGGTTTTGGGGTTTTGGGGTTTTGGGGTTTTGGGGTTTTGGGGTTTTGGGGTTTTGGGGTTTTGGGGTTTTGGGGTTTTGGGGTTTTGGGGTTTTGGGGTTTTGGGGTTTTGGGGTTTTGGGGTTTTGGGGTTTTGGGGTTTTGGGGTTTTGGGGTTTTGGGGTTTTGGAGTTTTGGGGTTTTGGGGTTTTGGGGTTTTGGGGTTTTGGGGTTTTGGGGTTTTGGGGTTTTGGGGTTTTGGGGTTTTGGGGTTTTGGGGTTTTGGGGTTTTGGGGTTTTGGGGTTTTGGGGTTTTGGGGTTTTGGGGTTTTGGGGTTTTGGGGTTTTGGGGTTTTGGGGTTGGGGCTTTAGGGTTTAGGGGTTTACGGGGGGTGGTTTGTGGTTTTTGGGGTTTTTGGGGTTTTTTGGGGTTTTGGGGTGTTTGGGTTTTGGGTTTTGGGGTTTGGGGGTTTTGGGGTTTTGGGGTTTTGGGGTTTTGGGTTTTGGGGTTTGGGGTTTTGGGGTTTTGGGGTTTTGGGGGTTTGGGCTTTAGGGTTTAGGGATTCTAGGGGGTTAGGGGTTCATGGTTTTGTGGGTTTAGGGTTTTGGGGTTTGGGGTTTTGGGGTTTTGGGTTTGGAGTTTTGGGGTTTTGGGGTTTTGGGGTTTTTGGGGTTTGTGGGGTTTTGGGGTTTTGGGGTTTTGTGGTTTTGTGGTTTTGGGGTTTGGGGTTTTGGGGTTTTGTGGGGTTTTGGGGGTTTGGGTTTAGGGTTTAGGATGCTAGGGGGTTAGGGGGTTCATGGTTTTGTGGGTTTAGGGGTTTTTGGGGTTTTCGGGTTTTGGGGTTTTGGAGTTTTTGGGGTTTTGGGTTTTGGGGTTTTGGGGTTTTGGGGTTTTTGGGGTTTTGGGGTTTTGGGGTTTTGGGGTTTTTGGGTTTTGGGGTTTTGGGGTTTTGGGGTTTTGGGGTTTTGGGGGTTTGGGCTTTAGGGTTTAGGGATTCTAGGGGGTTAGGGGTTCATGGTTTTGTGGGTTTAGGGTTTTGGGGTTTTGGGGTTTTGGGGTTTTGGGGTTTTGGGGTTTTGGGGTTTTGGGGTTTTGGGGGTTTGGGGGTTAGGGGTTTAGGGGTTCATGGTTTTGTGGCTTTAGGGTTCGGGGTTTAGGGTAGGATGATTTGGTCACCCCAACCCCTAACATGAGGACCCAATGAGAGTCATGGGGCCTATACTTTCGTGGCCTTCAGGACCAAACAACCCATACTTGTTTGACGCGAGAGCTTCTATGTGCAGCTGCATTTCCCGCCCCAACCCCCCACCCCCCTCCCTTGCGTGGTGCAATGTGGGTTTAGGGTTCAGGGTTATCGCCCCCCCGCCCGCCCCGTAGGATTCAAAGCTTCGGGTTTGTCTATAGGGTTTGGGGTTGGCTCGAGGGTCTTAGGGCTTAGTGTTCCCCTCTCCTCCCTTGAGGGCTTAGGGGCTCCGGGGTTTTTGGGAGTCCAGGTCTTGTTGTACATTGACATTGTGTTGGAGGAGCTGTTGGTCCTAAGGTACAGCGAATTCAAGGCACCGCCTGCTGCATAAGAGCTGTATCTTGTGGAGTTCTTAAGGGAAGGGGTTTCAAGGGGTAACCCAAGGTTCCCAACCATTCCCCACGACTCCCTAAGGCTCCCCAAGCTTCCCTAAGGCTCCCTAGGTACCTGCCCCCCATGAACCCCCTAAACCCTAAACCCTAAACCCTTAAGAACCCTATAATCTCTTTGCAGCAAAAAGTTGTCAAAGGAGTAAAGCAAAAAAACGCCCCGCCAGTCCTTCATGCACAAGAACTCGCTGGGGCCATGCTCCTCCTCCAGCTCCTGGAAGATATCATTATTGTTATTGCTATTGCTAACATTAATTACTCGTATTATTCTGATTACTATTGTAAATACAGAATAAAGGTTCATTATGATATGCTCTGATATTTCAGGTTTAGGATTTGATGCCGCGACCCGTCCCACTGTCCCTCAACAAGGGTCCTTGAAGGCTGAAGCGAAGCTCAAGCGGCTCTAAACCCTAAACCCTATAGACCCTAAACCTGAACCCTGAACCCTGAACCCTAAACCCTAAGGGGGGGGCACCCCCCGTTTTGAGGGGCAAAGGGGCTCTCCTCCCAAGACTCCACCTGGCCGGGACATCCATCTTGGACCTGCCCGGACTGTAGCAAAGAAAGTAGCTTTTTGCTTCTAAAGATTTAGGGTTTAGGGTTTAGGGTTTGGTGTTTGGTGTTTGGTGTTTGGGGTTTGGGGCTTGGTTAGAAGCCTTTGTAGAAGTCCACAGGGTTTCGATAGGGCTTTCTAGTTGGAGGATTGATGGGGCGCCTAGGGGCTTGTTGGTGGGGTGCTATACAGTTCTACAACTTTGGGTTCTTAGGGGTCCAGGGACCCTAAACCCTAAAACCTAAACCCTAAACAGGGTTTCCGTCCTAGGAGTCGTAGGTGTTTTTTGGGTTTATAGATCCCAGGGTCCCAGGGCCCCTGGGAGCTTGTAGAGGCTTCATTGGCTTCTCAACACGCATGCCGAAGAAAACGTTTTCCAGGCGAATGGCTAGAGCCAGACGTTCCCCCTTATACTAACAGTCCTTAGTAGGGCTACCCCTGATCCTGAACCCTAAGTTAGGGTTTAGGGACCTAAGCCCCAAGCCCCAAGCCCCAAGCCCCAAGAACCCAAAACATTAAACCCTAAACCCTAAACCCTAAACCCTAAACCCTAAACCCTAAACCCTAAACCCCAAACCCCAACTTAGGGCGAGGGCTTGACGCAGGCTGCCGGCCTTCTGGGCAGGTTGCGCTTTGGTCGGCTCTGGCTCCTCCTGGGCTGCCTCAGGCTTAGGGTTTAGGGTTTAGGGTTTAGGGTTTAGGGTTTAGGGTTTAGGGTTTAGGGTTTAGGGTTTAGGGTTTAGGGTTTAGGGTTTAGGGTTTAGGGTTTAGGGTTCAAAGATATTGATGGGTTTGGGGTTCGGGGTTTGGGGATGTTGGGGTTCTTGCTAAAGGAATTTTCGGCCACATGACCATCACAAGGGCGTCTACGGTAAATCAGGTGGTTTTCTTACTCTGGCAACTTCATGTAACCCTGAGCCCTAAACCCTAAATCTTGAACCACAGCTACCCTGGGTCCATGTTAGATGGCTCTGGATTATATACCTCCTTAGGCGGTATGGAGGGGTTGAGCAAACCTATGTGCCCAGTGTGGCTCCCCATCAAAGCTCGTATATTTTCGAGTAGTTCAGGCCACCAAGCAGGGTGAATACCTCAGAACAATCCCCCTAAACCCTAGACCCCCGACCCCAAAATCCCAAACCCCAACTCCTAAACCCTCAACCACAAACCCGAAACGCCTCGACCCTAACAGCCTCAACTCCTCAGCCCTCATCCAACGGGAAAGACTACCCCAAAGCCCTAATTAACCCAAAACCCCAAAAACCCGAAACCCTTAACCCAAAAACCCTAATCCCTGAACCCTAAACCCTAAGCCCGAAACCCCTGAAAGCTGAACCCTGAACCCTAAACCCTAAACCCCTGAACCCTGAACCCTAAACCCCAAACCCTAAACCCTCAACCCTGAGATACCCCGCCATGTTTTGCTGGCCCAGCTCCGGGAACTCCTGCTGCTCTTTGACGGGCTGCATCGCCCAGCCCCAGAGCCTCGAGGGTTCAGGGTTCAGGGTTCAGGGTTCAGGGTTTAGGGTTCAGGGTTTAGGGTTTAGGGGTTAGGGTTTAGGGTTTAGGGTTTAGGGCTTAGGTCAGCATCGGAGGCTCTTCATCAAAGCGGTTTCTGAGGGTTCAGGGTTTGAACTTACGAGTTCTTACTGGGAATGTAGGGAATTCGGTACACAAAACAATCCCTTATCTAGGGACATAGGGGGGGGGCATATAGGGGGGGGGGAATAGTGGGCACCTCATTCCCTAACTCCCTACTCAGAACTGGTAAGTAAAGGCTGTGATCCTGGCCGTGCTCCCTCAGGCCCATCCGAGTCGGTTTCCTGCTGCGCAGTTTTAAGGTTTAGGGCTTAGGGTTGAGGACTTCGGGCGGGTGCCAAACGAAGAAAAAGTGAACCTATGTAGTTGGAATGGTTTTTCGGGTAGCTTCGATGATTGCTTCTCTAAGGATCTGTCGTACATCATTTAGGCCCCTGTGATTTTATCATGGCGGCTGCGCAAGTGCTCAGGCCCATGCCACTGGACGACATCTCCAACCACAAGCTGTCCTCGTGCTTCTTCCACCTCGAACCCATCTCCACCGGCCTTGCGTGGCGCTGTGCGTGCGGAGATGCCATGTTGCTATTCACAAAATCCAACCGAGTCATCGTCGCTTCGCCTCTGAGGTCTTGAAGCACATGCAACAAACCCCTTTCCGGCCTCTCTTTCAGCGGCTGAAAGGCTGGCTTTGGTGCTTCTTCAATGACCTTAAGCCCGACATTGTCCGTGGCAACGCAACTGCAGGGGCTGCACTGATGTCGACCACTATTTGCTTAGGACCCCCCCCCCCCCAAAAAAAAAAAAAGAAACAAGAAGTTCAAAAGTGGAAGAATATACTCTCTACATTACCCTTCTAAAGGAAGAATATTTCAGACCCCCCACCCCCTGGCAACAAAAGAGAAAGAGTCTCCATGTTGCCCTTACAAGGAAGAATGCCCCTGCAAAAAAGAAGTAGTCGTCTCTATATTACCCTTTACAGAAATGATACTTTTTTTAAAACTACGATTTGGTTAAGACCCCCCCCCCCCCCCAACCCACCCCCCCCCCCCCCCCCCCCCCCCCCCGCATACAAAGGAAATATTCCAAGAACTCCCCCCCCCCCCCCCCCCCCAAGAAAAAAAAAAACAAAACTAAACCCTAACCATCTCAGAAAGAACACTTCCTTTTTACCGAATAGTAGTCGAGGCACCCCAAAGTGTGCGTAGTCATCGTCATCCTCCTCTTCAGATCCCTGGTTCGCCTCCTGCACATTCGGTGAGGGTTTGGGGTTTAGGGTTTAGGGTTTAGGGTTTTAGGGTTTAGGGTTTTAGGGTTTAGGGTTTAGGGTTTAGGGTTTAGGGTTTAGGGTTTAGGGTTTAGGGTTTTTGGGTTTAGGGTTTTGGTTTATAGGGTTTAGGGTTTTAGGGTTTTAGGGTTTAGGGTTTTTGGGTTTAGGGTTTAGGGCTTTTGAGACAGGCTTATCCATGTTGCTGCCTCAATGCCGTCATCGTTCTCCCTCAAGGCTGCGAAGACCTGGCAGCGGAACTTTCCACATAGAGCTTTATGTCACACTTTTTTCATGTTTGTGCAGGGTTTAGGGTTTAGGGTTTAGGGTTTAGGGTTTAGGGTTTAGGGTTTAGGGTTTAGGGTTTAGGGTTTAGGGTTTAGGGTTTAGGGTTTAGGGTTTAGGGAATAGGGTTTAGGGTTTAGGGTTCAGGGTTCAGGGTTCAGGGTTTAGGCTTTCGGCTTTAGGGTTTAGGGTGTCATATTTCTTCAGGCCCCCTTAGGGGTTTTAGGGGGTTTCCAGGCCTTGTGACCAGCATATCGCACCATCATCGAGGGCATGAGCGCTGAGGAGGTCGTCCAATTCAGCGCTTGGATTGCGTTCTGCGCCTTATTCTACCCCAAACCCTAAACCCTAAACCCTAAACCCTAAACCCTGAACCCTAAACCCTAAACCCTAAACCCCCTTCCCCCCGACCATAAAACTCCCAATCCCCCCCAACGCTGAAAAACCTAAACTCCAGACCCCAGACCCGAAACCCTAAACCCTAAACAAACCGGAATTGCGTTCAAGGCTACTTGGTCACTGCTGGCCATCTGGACCAGCGCACAGCGGTCCTGTCATCGATTTCACCACCCCAGCATGGGCGATGGCACCCAATCATTCCTTAAAGAGGGGCCCTTCGTGTGCGGTTTAGGATTTAGGCTTTAGGGTTTAGGGTTTAGGGTGTAGGGTTAGGGTTTGCACGTAAGGAAGCCCTGTATGAGGTTGACTTTGGGGAGTCTGGGGGGGGGGGGGGGGGGGGGGGGGGGGGGGGGATCCTCGTTCTTAAGTCTGACAAGCCCAAATCGGAATTTGAAGAGTGGCTTTGAGTGTTCAACACTGAGGGAAGTCTGCCCTAACACGACATCTCCGATACCGCCCGAACCCCTAAACCCTAACCCCCACCCAACATGCAGGGGTTTAGGGTTTCTAGGGTTTAGGGTTTAGGATTTAGGGTTTAGTTTCCAGGTTCAGGGTTCAGGGTTCAGGTTTAGGGTCTAGGGTTTAGGCATCCAGGCACCCACCCTAAGGGAGCCGGTGCCTGCTCGTCCATGCGTGGCGGCAGGATGCCTTGGCAGGCAGGAAACTTGGACGGACGACCATAGGTGTAGGATCTATGGGTTTAAGGTTTAGGGTTTAGGGTTTAGGGTTTAGGATGTTCCCCCTTATACTAACAGTCCCGATTAGGAACTACAGTACCGCCTATTAGAATCCCTGTTAAGGACTGTTAGTAGGGGGAACATCCCAATCCCTAAACTCTAAAGTTCTACATTCAGGGTGTTTGGGGACCTTCGCGGTTCCCCGGCAAAATTTCATTCAAGTGACTTGACCACAGTACCTGTCCATAGCGATTGAAGAGAGATGCGACCTGCGGGCGGTCAAAGGGCCAACGATGAAGTCCTAAGCCCTAGGCCCTTGACCCTAAGCTCTAAAACCCTAACACCCTACCACCCTAAAACCCTAAACCCCAAACCCCAAAGCCTTAAAATTCTAAAACCCTAAAGCCCTAAAACCCGAAAACCCTCAAACCCAAGTTTGGGGCTGTCTTAACCCTAAACCCTAAACCCTAAACCCTAAACCCTAAACCCTAAACCCAATTCCTTTTTTTAAAGTGGAATGCGCCTGTTTGGGGCTGGTCGGGGTCGAGGAGCCGAAGTTCGGGGGGAGCGGGGGCTGGCACTGACAGCCCTAAACCCTAAACCCTAAACCCTAAACCCTAAACCCTAAACCCTAAACCCTAAACCCTAAACCCTAAACCCTAAACCCTAAACCCTAAACCACAAGAGCAGGTTGGCTCCTTACAAAGCCCCCTCTGAATTGTCTTATAACCCTCGGAAGATGTTCTAAACCCTAAACCCTAAACCCGAAACCCTAAACCCTAAACCCTAAACCCTAAACTATAAACCCTAACCCCTGAACCCTAAACGTGCCTCTAAGCGGACGGTCCGACTTTGCCCGCCTGATGCTTCTGCACGGCCGAAGGAATGCCTCTAACGAAGAGGTGGTCGCAAACTTGTATGCCGTTCTTCACCTCAAGCGGGCTTAAGGGGGCTTTCGAGGGGGGGGGGGGGGGGGGGTTCGGGTGTAAGGTGCAGGGTTTAGGGTTTAGGGTTTAGGGTTGTTTTTGTCGGGTTTCCGGGTTCCTTATACAGGGGGTTTAGGGTTTAGGGTTCAGGGGTTCCAGGGCGCAGGGTTCCTAAACTCTTTGAATGGGATTTCGGGTTTTGTGCGCATGCCTCTCATGCGACACCAGCACAGCAACCTATGCCCAAGAACCTTAAAACCCTAAACCCTAAACCCTAAACCCTAAACCTTAAAACCCCAAACCCCCTTTGGGCCATCGATGCGGGCGACCTGGAAGGTGATCATCAAGTTTCCTTGCAAGGGCGTAAGGCAAGGGTTTAGGGTTTAGGGTTTAGGGTTTAGGGTTTAGGGCCTAGGGGTTAGGGTTTAGGGTTTAGGGTTTAGGGTTTAGGGTTTAGGGTTTAGGGTTTAGGGCACTCATGCTGCTAGCTGCGAGAGGCCTTGGAAGCCCCATTTCCCCCTGCCACTCGAATGAGTATATAGGCATATACACATACATCTACATATACATATTAGAGAGAGAGATATATATATATATGTAGATATTGATAAAGACAGAGTTCCATAGCTGTACATCGTAGATACCGAGAAAGAAACAAGAATCTACAGAGACACATGGACGAACAAGGATCGAATGCAGACGCAGATGTACATGTACACAAGTATGGGAGCATGGATGTCGCGTCAGCCGAATCCCTGTAGTAGTCTCTTACTACGACTTATGCATATAGGTCGTATAAGTGCCTAATTTTGCCAAGTAGCGCTCCATCTCGAAACCGGTGCCTTCTGGAATGATGCCATCCAGCTTCTCTCGGGCCACTTTGGCCTGAACCAGGTCTAGCGACATCTTGAGCAAGAGCAATTAGGGTTCACGAAACTGTGGCACCAGGCCATGTCTCCCAAAGCACGACAACAACATATTTTAGGGTTTGGGGTTTAGGGTTTAGGGCCCTCAAGCAACAGTGCCCCATGACGCACCCCCCCCCCCCCCTCCTCCCGAAGCAACTTCTCCTTCAGGTGTGTGACAACCGGTGTGTACTTGGAGGTTCATGCTACTTATTAACCCAACAATAAACTGTACTTCTAACTCAATTACCACCATGTCTAGGGCACTTAAGGGGCTTCTTAAGTGGGTTATAAGTACAGGTCTTATTGGCTTAACAAGCACCATGAACCTCCAAGTAGGGTATCCCTAAACCTTAAACCCTATAATTCTTAAAACAAAGTACCATGAACCTCCAAGTAGGGTTTGAGGTTGCAAGTGTACCCCTCTGCCTCATCACAACTTGACATGCGGACCAAGGCGGAGCACCGCGATGCCATAGCTTGATCCTGATAGCCACTGGGGAGAAACGATGAAGGACTAGCAATGTTCAGCTCAGGGTTTAGGGTTTAGGGTTTAGAGTTTAGGGTTTAGGGTTTAGGGTTTAGGGTTTAGGGTTTAGGGTTTAGAACATCTTCCGAGGGTTATAAGACAATTCAGAGGGGGCTTTGTAAGGAGCCAACCTGCTCTTGTGGTGTAGGGTTTAGGGTTTAGGGTTTAGGGTTTAGGGTTTAGGGTTTACGGTTTGTCCTGTGGAAGGAAGCGTATCTCCTCCACCTTGCCTGCTCTGCCAAAGCACCTTCCGACTGCATGCAAGGCAGCCGAGCTTCCCACACCAGGATGGGCTATTTGGCCTTAAAATCCCCATAATGAACCCTAGGGTTTAGGGTTTAGGGTTTAGGGTTTAGGGTTTAGGGTTTAGGGTTTAGGGTTTAGGCCTTAAAATCCCCATAATGAACCCTACAAAGGGCCTTTTAAGGGAATAGAGGGCATACTAGCCCATTCTGGCACCTCTCCTCGCAATCTTACTTCTCCAATAGCCAAGGGAGAAAAGGGTTCAACCTTATTCCTGCAAAACAAGGAAACCCAAAAGGATTAAAGTTCAACTTTTGGCTAAGTAAGCAATTCGCTAGTATTGCTCTACTTCATCTCTTGGCAAAATATCTACATCTATATATGTATATATGTATACAACTACCCCTAGTACCAAGTATTAGCGCTGTGTCTATGAAGGTTTAAGCCCGGCGCCTCTGCAGCGTGGATTCCTCAATACCTGCGGAGCCACACATCTGCCCAGAAAAAGCTGCTGGAGCTTCTTTCATACCCGAACCTAGAGACTCCACCACCCCCTACTTGGAGGTTCATGGGTGCTTATGACCCCGATTATAAGTCTACCTATCATCTACTTGGGGGGCTTATAAGTACAGCTATATTAATTGGGATTATAAGTACCCTGAAACTCCGAGTAGTTAAGGGATCCTCCTTCAACTGTGATTTTCAAGGAAGACTCCCTTAAAGGAATTATGGGTACCGGAGGCTCTTGAGCAGTTTCATCCAAGGCCCTATGCCTGTAAGCCCTAAACCCTTGGTAGCCCGGTAACTGTATCAAAATAAGGGTACCCATTTTTGGGGGGGTTACTTTATAGCAAAAGGGTACCACTGGGCTAACAAGAAACCTTTTCCCGCCTTGCAGAAGTCCCGTGACATGCAAGTACGGGCTCGGCGCGGCTTCGGGCTCTGCTGTTCTGGCCCAGCCATCGTCAAGCACCCCTGGCAAGAAGAGGGGGCTGATCCAGCTTCAAGGTGGCTTTGGGGAGTTCTAGAGCAATGAAACGCTCCTACTTAGGAGTTTGTTTGGTGTTTCGGGTGCAAACGAAGGCCCATGATTGGGGCCTGTCCGAAGGTCATCCAAGTTCTCTTCCTCCACGTGCGTATCCTGTAGTGTGTCAACTGAGCTCATGATCGCCATGGCTACACTCTTAGGGTAGTTACATGTCTAGGGTTTAGGGTTTAGGGCTACCCCTTATATTAGACCCCTTATATACCTCAGATACACATGCTGCCCGTTCGACAACAAGGTCCTCCGCTGTATTGAGGATGTGCTGCACTTCAGCTGCGCGCGCTCGCAAGCTGTCTATTGTCTGCTGGCACCTGGTCGCATGCAAGGTCCTAGAGAATCCTGGGGCTCTGTTCATCGCTAAGCTCAACTATGCCATCTGCTCTGATACTGGGGCACTGGCATTTCTGCCAGCTCGGCACGCAGGCTGTCAAAGTCTTTCGCTTCGTCCAGTTTCCTTTCCACAGCACGGGCAGCAGCTGCATCAGCCATTGGATTGTCTGCTGTTGCAGTCTCACAGGCAAGGCAGCAGTGTCAAAGCTCCTTATTCCAACCCCCGAAACCCCATGAACCCGATCACCCCGAAACCCAAGTGGCGACTCAGGTAGACCCTAAACTCCCTAAACCCTAAACCCCAATCCTCATGAAACCCTCAAGCCTACATCCTAAACCCTAAACCTTGCAGAAAGCGCCGAAGATGCTCCAAACCCTTTTTTCCAATGAGGACTCTCCCAAACCCCAAAACCCATTCTCCATCTTTCTCATACGCGAATAGCCCATGCATGTGCTCCCAAAGGGCTAGAGGGTTTAATTGGGCGGTTTAGGGTTTAGGGTTTAGAGTTTAGGGTCTAGGGTTTAGGGCTCGGGGCTAGGGCTAACGCCTCCTGAGCACCCCGAGCCTGCTAATGCCAGCTACGTCATCCGCGGCACGCTCCAGCTGCTGGGCCGCTATCCTACGAGGTTTAGGGTTTAGGGTTATTAGGGGTTTAGGGTTTAGGGTTTAGGGTTTAGGGTTTAGGGTTTAGGGTTCATGAACTCGGAACCCGGTCTACCCTCAACCTTCAAAGCCAAAACCCTAAACCCTGCACGCTATTTGGGTCTTGGGGGTTCAGAGTTCCATAGTGACCAGCAGCCCTATGGCAAACTTCTGATGTAAACCCATCATGATGAAATACCCCCGGAGGCGTCCCTCCTTGCAAGTGGTTTAGAGGGCTTGGAGTGCAGAGAAGCAGTTTCCAGGATTTAGGGTTTAGGGTTTAGGGTTTCAAGGCCCAAAGCCAGTTTAGGTTCTATGGGGGTCACTGTAAACCGTATCTGGAATCAATCTATTCAGCCCCTGCACTGGAACGGAGTCCTGCCCGCAGCAGACGGCATCACCTTGCTCAGAGTGCTGCGGACCGTGCGCCGGAGCGATGGAACGGATCTTGCACAGCGCCATTCCTTCACCTTGTGCAGGCTTGTCGGTCCCAATCGGACTTTGGGAGTCTAGCTCTTTTTTGAGTAGTCTACTCTCCCCCCCCCCCCCCCCCAACAAAAAAAGAAAGGGCCATACCAAACTCCCCCTGCCATGAGCGGAAAGCTGAAACAACAGGGGCTCACACCGTCGACGCCCAGCTGAAGCTGGCTTGATCTTTGTATCTGTTGATGGCATCGTTGACGAGGGCGAAGACCTCTCTGGTCCTTTTGCAGCCAGGAAGTTGTGCTTATGAAGCCGAGGCCTAAACCAGAAGCCTCGAAACCACCCGAAACTTGGCCCATAACACATACCTTAGGAAACCAAACCCATTCTTGTGGTGGTTTGCGACTCTAAAACCCTCGCCCGTCTAGGAAAGGAAGCTGCAAAAAAAAGTGTTGGTCTACAGCTGCTCCTTGTCAGGCACGTGCGACCCTAAAGCGACCCGAAAGCGTAACGCAGAACCCTTTTGCTTCAACCCTGTCACTTTAGGGTCCGAGGCTTATGGAAACCGGAAGCTAGGCTACAGCAGGGAATTTGGGATTTAGCTTCCCAAAATCACCCGTAGAGAGTGCAAGAGGGGGATGTAGGGTACCTTGCCTTGAGCCCTAACTTCTTGACAAGAACCAATTTGTAGAGATCCATAAAGAGGCCGAGGAAGTCTTTTGGCCGGGAGGCTCCATTTCGAGTGGGGTTCCAGGATTCGGGTTTAGGGTTTAGGGCTTAGGGCTTAGGGTTTAGGGTTTAGGGTTTAGGGTTTAGGGTTTAGGGCTTAGGGCATCCCCCCGAAGACTCCACGTGACATCCCTCAGCCGGCGTGGTTTTGCGTACCTGCTTCCAAAGTACTATCGGGACACAGAGAGCCAGATACGCCTTAGTTAAGGAATATACCTTAACGTATATAGGGATCCTGAAGATGATTTGAGGTATACTCCTTAATTAAGGAATATACTTACTTTATATAGTGATGCTGAATATGACTTGAGGTAAATTCCTTAATTAAGGGGTATTAGGCTTTTTGGGGTAGATTCTCTGACGCAGCCCGCCTCGCTCTCACGTCTCGAGAAGGTGTCACCCGGCGGAAAATGGGCGCATCGCTCAAGGTAACGACCTCTGGCGGAGATGGCAGTCATCGAACAGCAGGGGTTTAGGGTTTCGGGTTTAGGGTTTAGAGTTTAGGGTTTAGGGTATGAACGAAGAGAAGCTGGGCCGCAGGCATCTGGCTCATATCTCGACCTCGCAGAGCAGCTTCAGCAGCTTCTTTGACTACTTGAACCCACCCTATTAATCCTAAACCCTTACCCTAACATCCTGAAACCCCAAAGCCTGAAACCCTAAACCCCAAACCCTGCGGCCCTACATATATAACGCCCAAAGACTCTCTCTGGAAGGGAAAGTTTATATAACTCTCAGAGCTGCACTAGACCCAGAGGGGACACCAGAACGTCTTAAACAAGCTTAAGATACCTCAAAAACAGTTCAGGGTTTAGGGGTACCAGAAGCACAAGAACCTCTTGAGCAAGCTTAAGTTACCTTAAAGCACAACTTAGGAAGTAGGGTTTAAGCTTAAGAAGGCTTAAAGCACAAATTAGGGAGAAGGTTTTAAGCCTAAGCTACCTTCAAAGCGGTTTAGGGTTTTGGGTTTAGCATTTAGGGCTTTGAATCTAGGATGGCCCTTGCAGCCCTCTTAAACATATTCCCACATATGACGCCCTTCAACCCAATAAGGGAAAATGTAAAACACACCCTAAACCCGAAACCCGAAACCCGAAACCCTGAACCCTAAACCGAATAGGGGAAACTATATACTATCCCAAGGGCCTACCTAGGAATGCAAGTAAGCAAGCGAGATGCCCTAAAACCTACACCCTAAACCCTAAACCCTAAACCCTAAACCTGAACCCTAAACCTAAACCCTCAACCTAAACCCTAAACCCTAAACCCTAAACCGTAACAACCCAAACCCTAAACCCTCAAAGCAGGTGAGGCCGAGCTACACCATGATCGACTTCCGGAGCAGCTCCGCGCCCTGCATCGCCTCATACCTGCGTCACAACGGGGGGTTTAGGGTTTAGGGTTTGGGGTTTGGGGTTTGGGGTTTGGGGTTTGGAGTTTGGGGTTTGGAGTTTGGGGTTTGGGGGGTTTCTGGGGTTTAGGGTTTAGGGTGCAGCGGGTTTAGGGTTTGTGGGGTTTAGGGTTTGGGGTTCCGTCGAAGCTGTCTTACAAACCTCAAGACCCTAAACCCTAAACCCTAAACCCTTGACGCTTAGGGGTACTTAGAAATTGTTTTTGGGAGGTGCTTAGGGTGTGGGAGTTTGAGGGTGAGAGACTTCGGGCTTGACGCTGTAGGCCCGACTTGTTTAGGGTTTAGGGGTTTAGGGTTTAGGGTTTAGGGTTTAGGGTTTAGGGGTTTAGGGTTTAGGGTTTAGGGTTTAGGGTTTAGGGTTTAGGGTTTAGGGCTTAGGGTCTGTGAATCAAAGCCAATTTCGAGTTTGCAGGGACGGTCGCGGGGTTCAAGGAAGAGCTTGGGGTGAGCAAAGGGCCTTTCGTACCTCGGGCATGTGCCTCGCAAAGGGTTTGCCCAACTTTTCCTAGCAAGCCTGCTGTGGGGTTCAGATTTTAGGGTTTTAGCGTGCTAGGGTGTTAGGGTTTTTGGCTTTTGGGGCTCTAGGATTTTAGGGTTTTGGGGCTTTAGGGTTTTAGGGTTTTAGGATGTAGGGTTTCGGTTTCAAGGTTCAGGGTGTCGGGTGTGTAGGGCCTAGTATTACCTGTCTTGGAAACAACATCGAGCGACTATTTCGCGCGCTTCAGCCCTAAGCCCTAAACCCTAAAGCCTCAAGCCTAAAGCCTGAAGCCAAAAGACTAAAGCCTACACCTCCCCAATTCTAAAGCTGAAGTGGAGGCGGGGCACTCACATCTGCAAAATCCTCTGCAGATGATGTATGCAGTACCGTCACCTTGCCCACAAACAAAAAAACAAGCATGCTCGGGCGTGCCAAAGTTTCAGGTTTACAGGGTTTAGGGTTTAGGGTTTAGGGCTAAGGGCTAAGGGCTTAGGGTTTAGGGCTCAGGTGCCCAGAAATGGTAGCGCTGAGGCTGCGACTTTGATGGGACTTCCCTGACTTGAAGAGCATCATGGAGTCAAACCTCAGAATGAAAGCAAACGCCTGCAAGCCTGAAAAGGGCCAAGGTGTGTCAGTTGAGGGCTGCGTTAAATTAGAGTCCCCCTTGTGGCTATAGTAGGGTTTAGGATTTAGGATTCTTTTCTCAGACTTCCGTGCAGGAGGGAACCCCTTAAAGAGGACCCTAATTTAGAGCAGCCAGGTCAGCAGACCAAGAGCGGAACAGCCGGTCAACCATGGCCAGTACTTGACAAACAGAGTCGAAGTACCAATCCACGTTGCCGTCCTGGCGGTTCGGTTTTTTGGGGCTTCAATTTGCGTGCACTAAACTAAAGCCTAAACCCTAAACCCTAAACCCTAAAACCCTAAACCCTGGTATGCCAAAGCCCTCATTGCTTTGTAGACATGGCAGTCCTTGCAGTTCAGTCGGAACATCATGACGCCGCCGTTTCGCAAGTTGCACAGGCCTAGTTCATTGTTGGGATAATATTACTCAACCCTAAACCCTAAACCCTAAACCCTAAACCCTAAACCCTAAACCCTAAACCCTAAACCGACTCCTTATTGGGTTTAAGTCCCGGTAAAAAATCTAAAATGCTACCCAACTCTGACCCAGGAGGCCCAGCCGCAGCTGCTGGAAGAGAAGTGCCCAGATGCCCAGAGCTGGGTTGATGCTCTGAGCCTTTGCCTCGCAGGCAGGTGCAGAACCCTAAGCCAAACAGGGTTTAGGGTTTAGGGTTTAGGGTTTAGGGTTTAGGGTTTAGGGTTTAGGAGTTAAGTTTTGAGTTTGGTATTTTGAGCTTAGGGTTTAGGATGTGTTTGAGGTTTGGGGTTGAGGGAGTTCCTAAACCTCTGAACCCTGATTCCGCCCTACTCCCCAGTGAAGCCCTTGCAGTCGGTATCCTAAAACCCCTCTGAAGCAACTACACGCTTCATGAGGGAGAAACGAGAACCAACAAAACGGGCAAAATAGAAGTGTACCCCTGGGCTGCCAAGATGACGGATTGAGAATCAGGGGCCCCTGAACCCCTACAGGATCCATTAGGGTTTAGGGTTTAGGGTTTAGGGTTTAGGGTTCAGGGTTCTACAGAAAGCACCCCCTTGGAGCCCTCAACCGTGGAAAACGAAGCGCCCTCAACCTTAATTCCCGACGCACCCTAAACCCTAAACCCTAAACCCTAAACCCTAAACCCTAAACCCTGAACCCTGAACCCTAAACCCTAAACCCTAAACCCTAAACTGTAGACCCGACTTCCCCCTTCAAAAACCACCCTGACTCAGGTGAAAAGCCAAGGGCCGCACAAGAGCCGGGTCTGGGCCGGGCTGGTCAGCCTGGTGAAGAAGATGGCTGGGGTGTTTAGGGTTTAGGGTTTAGGGTTTAGGGTGTAGGGTGCTTAGGGTTTAAGTGCGGGGTTTAGGGCTTAGGGCTTAGGGTTTAGGGTTGAGGGTTGAGGGTTGAAGGCTTAGTAGCCGCCCATACAAAGAAAGCTGCGGCGGTCTATCCTTCGAAGCTTTAGGTACTTGGAGGTTCCTGGTACTTCTATACGAACCAAGTATGACTGTACTTATAACCCGCTTATAACTCCTTGAGTGCCCTAATATGGTTATACATATATAATATAACCTCCAAGTAAGACCTCAAGCGGAGAGGCCAAGTCTGAGGCAGCCAGGCGTAACCTTCTGGTTCTTAGAAGGGAAGGCGGCAAGTAGGCACCTCATGTCCTCCCATGTTTCCCCCTTAAGAGGATAAATTACATGACCTTGTGCCCTCATTCACTACCAAGAACCACGAAGCTTGATGTGGATGTTTACGGAAAATTTAGGGATCCCTACTTTAGACCCCCCAAAAAAGTAGGATCCCCTGATAATAAGGACCCGAATAAGGCACCCCCAATTTCGGAAGCCACCCATTTGGGAGTTTCCTAAATTAAATGGGGTACCTTAAAGAGGCCCTTCTGATAAGGAAATCCTGCTATTTGGGGATCTAAGTTGGGGGGTACCCCGAATTTCGGAAACCCCATCTCTGAACAGCACGTTAAACCCAAAACCCTAAACACTAAACCCTATAAACCCTAAAACCCTAAAACCCTAAAACCCTAAAACCCTAAAACCCTAAAACCCTAAAACCCTAAAACCCTAAAACCCTAAAACCCTAAAACCCTAAACCCCAGGCCTTGCGCAAGGGGAGATACTGGGCATCCGAGATCACCATGTCGACCTGGTGCTCGCAGCCTTGGCGGGAAAATCCTAAGCCCTTACACCTGCCCCCTAAACCCTAAACGAGAACTAAACCCTAGACCCTAAACCCTAAACAGTAAACACTAAACCCTAAACCCTAAACCCTATCCCTAAACCCTAAACCCTCAACCCTCAACCCTCCAGCGCTGTGCACAAAGCAGCGTTCAGCAGCAGTAAGGATGCGGCAGTCTTCCGGCTCGAGCGTGAGCATGTCCCTAAACTTGACCTGCGCCGTTCGGGTTTAGGAGTTTAGGGTGTAGAGCTCAGGGTTTAGGGGTACTTGTAACCCCAAGTCTAAGCCTGCTTATAAGCTACTAGGGACTTAGTGGCTTATAAGTTTAGCTAGGAGATATGAGTACCATGAATATACAGTTGGTTGTCCTCAACCCAAATTGCCTAAGCTGACCTGAAGCCCCCAAAGTACTCCATAACTATGATCGATATGATCTGAGGGTACTCCAAGGGTACCTTTCAGGTACTTTCGGGGGTCCCTAAACCCTGTACCCTAAACCCTACACCCTGCAAAACCCAAAATGTATATCTTCAAGGGAGCCCTGAAGGGTGATTAAGTCCCTAAACCCTTACATTCCTAACACACCTTCAGCCGCCCTCCAGAAGATCATCACACATTGGGTACCTTAAACCCTGCATCCTCCAAGCCGTCCAAACTTTGGGTTTTCGGGTTCTGCGTTTAGGGTTTTATGAGCCCCCAAACCACCAAATCCCTAAACAAAAAGCAGGGTTTCGGGTTTAAACCTCAAACCCCCCAAATCCTGCAAAAACCCTAAAACAACCCTAAACATACACCAAAAAAGGCCCAAACAAAAAACCCTGCCTGGAACTTCCTTTCGTCCGGTGTGCTCCACGTGAAGAGCAGCCGAAAGCCGCCCTCTGTAACTGGAAGGCTGATTCCCCAGCCCCTGGCTCACATTGGGTTTAAGGCAGTGGGGTTACCCTACACCCAACACCCTAAACCCTAACCCCAAAAACCCTAAAAAACCTATAAACCCTATAAACCCTGTAAACCCTGAAAACCCTGTAAACCCTATAAACCCTATAAACCCTATAAACCCTATAAACCCTATAAACCCTACAAACCCTGCAAACCCTATAAACCCTATAAACCCAATAACCCAAAACCCTAAACCCTAGACCCTAAACCCTTCAGGGTTATGACTTAGGGGCTTAGGGCTCGCGAGGCTCTCAGGCTTGAAGGATGGGGTTTAGGGCTTTACTTGGAGGTTCATGGTACTTACTAACCCAACAATAACTGTACATAGAACCCAATTATAACCATATTAGGGCACTTCGGGGGCTTAGAAGTGGGTTATAAGTACAGTTATAACTGGTTAATAAGTACCATGAACCTCCAAGTAGGGATTTATAGGATTTAGGTTCACTAGAAAGGGACTGCTTCGGCAGGGGCCGCAATAATTTGTGGAAAGCAGGATCAGCATCGTTGGATGGGCAGCCGAAGAAACCAAACCCTCAACCCAAAACCCAATACCCTGACCCTAAACCCTACACCCTAAACCCTAACCCCTAAACCCTAGACCCTAAGCCCTCTGACCCTGCAGTCTCTCTGAGCCCTCCAAGCCATGAAACCCCGAGGTCTCGGACCCTAAACTCCCCAAAGTCATCCCAAAACCCCTCCTCAACCCCTAAACCCCACAAACCGCAACCTCAAACCGGAAAAGCCCCTCAACTTCTGAAACCTTGAGGCCTAAAGCCCCCCTAAACCCTAAACCCTAAAGGCCCGCCCCCCCCCTCCCCCCGGCCCCCCGGGCCCCCCCCGGCTCCCCCACAAAAAGTAAAGACAAAAGAACAAAAACCTTGCAATTCCCTTTCGACTTCTCTGCCTCTCACACCGTGGGTCGCTGCACATGAACCTTGAGAAGCCACCAGGCCTCAGTTCGGCGGTTTAGGGTTTAGGCGGTTTAGGGTTTAGGGTTTAGGGTTTAGGGTTTAGGGTTTAGGGTTTAGGGTTTATTAGGGGTTTAGGGGAACTAGGGCCCCTATTCCCTTCAAGGGCTATGTAGGGCGATATCAGGTTTATAGGGCTTAGAGGGCAAAAAGAGGCTATAGACAGGGTGTCATCGGGGTACCTCTGTCTGCAGCCGCGGCACGCGCATGCGATGTCCAGGAACGTATAGCCTCGGCAGTTCTAAAACCTATAAGCGCTCTACCTTAGTTGAACACTTTCAGTTCTATAGGGGATTATAGTATCCCAAAAAGTGTAAAGTGTACTCACTCAGCTACTATGCTACGCCCCAAACCCTAAAACCTCAACCCTCTTTGAACCCTATAAGCCCTGCCTTAAAAACCCAAAACCTGCCTTTTTTGGTTACCCGGGAATCCTTGTATAGTCACAACCTACCAAAAAACAGGCTTTGGGTTCTTATGGTACAACAGCAGAAGCCAGGAGCCTGATAGGCAAGGACTGTTCACCCTGTAAACCCTAAAACCCTAAACCCTCAGCCCTCAAACAAACAAACAATAACAAAGAACGAAAGAAAGAAATTCAGAAAGAAAGAAACAAGCACGCAAACAAACAAACAGTATGAGCACTCACATTCAAATTACTGTTTGCCTAAACCCTGTATGCAACTGGGCTTTAGGGGCGAGCCTAAACCCTAAACCCTAAACCCTAAACCCTAAATCCTAAACCCTAAATCCTACACCCTAAACCATAAACCCTAAACCCTAAACCCTGAACCCTGAACCCTGAACCCTAAACCCTAAACCCTGAACCCTAAACCCTAAACCTTAAACCCGAAACCCTAAACCCTAAACCCCAACCCTAAAGAAACACAGGCGCCCTGGCGCGTCCCCAGCTCCTTCTGGAATCCGTGAGTCGCGTCGAAGATGTCACGCATGACCTGCCAGACTGATGGGTTTTTTTGGGGTTGAGGGTTGTAGGTTTGTGCCGGGTTTAGGGTTTAGGGGTTTAGCTTCATGGTCTTCAGAAATCCAGCCCTAAACCCTAAACCCTAAACCCTAAACCCTAAACCCTAAACCCTAAACCCTAAACCCTAAACCCTAAACCCTAAACCCCTTGGCTTTAGGGTCGATTCTCCGCATCTTGTCTGGAAGGTTTTTGGGGGCCTGGAGGGTGATTTTCTGGAGTCTCTGTACCAAAACAACAGGCTTTCACCGAGTTCCAAAAGAGCATGATCAGTGGACCGTCTGGGGCTAAACCCTAAACCCTAAACCATAAACCCTAAACCCTGTTGGCGTCGGGCTATCGCTGCCGTCAGACATCCAGGGGCAGGTCGTGCCTTCGCAGTCTTGTCGAAGTGAATAACCTTGGAGGCGATGCACTGCCTATACTCCCCCGGTTCTTGTTTAGGGTTTAGGGTTTAGAGTTTAGGGTTTAGGGTTTAGGGTTTAGTAGCGAATGAGGGAATGTGGACCCCATATTTACCCTGTAAACATTACGTAGGGCCCGAATTTCTCCATTCCCTAGTACGAACCAGCCAGATGAACTCTGAGCCCGAAACCCCTAAACCCAGACTCTGAACCTGGAACCCTGAACCCTGAACCCTCATACATCGCTTGTCCTGTTAGTCCGCGGTGTCTTGGGCTTCAGAGAGTATGTGCTCAGTTCTCCTGAAAGTAAAGGCTATAACCCTAAACCCTCAACCCTAAACCATAAACCCTAAACCCTAAATCCTAAACCCTATGTGTAGATTTGTGAAGCTATGGCTTTGCTCGAGTATCGCCTGGTGCCCGATGCAGTAGTATGAGCGAACATTTATTATAATAGAAGACTTTAGAAGCTTGCAGATGGTTATAGACTAGTTTATTTTTAGCAAAACATGTATATATATATATATATATATATATGACCCTCGATCATCATCTGCAATCGTAAATTGTGCATTGGTATTATGTCATATCGCGGTTTAATACGTATAGGGTTTGGTGTATCTGCTTCATTGGGTGGTACAGAACCCTATACTATACATGCCCGGAGTCCCAACCCCAAAACATTTCAACAGTCCTACATTCCTGATCTCCGACAGCCCTAAACCTGACACTAGCCACCTTCGGGGTTAAGGGCTTAGGCCTTTTGGGTTTAGGGTAAAGGGTGCCACATGCCCCCCCACCGTAAACCCTAAACCCTAAACCCGAAACCCTAAACCCTCTCTACCTAAATATCTGCATATATGTATATATATATATATATGTTTATTTATTTAAACCTTAATGGGGTCGTTGACCTTTTTTGCGTTTTCGTGGTTGCTAAATGCTAAATCCTACATCCTAAATCCTAAATCTTGAATCCTAAATCCTAATGTAATATGGGCTGTCCCGGGCCCCCCCGGGACGGGTTGTCCCGGGACCCCCCGGGACAGGTTGTCCTCGGGACAAATGTCCCGCGGCCCCCCTGGGACGCCCCCAGAACAGCTGTCCCGGCAAGCCCTCGGGACACCCGGCTTTTTGAAGCCTTTTGGGGTTTTAGAGCTATTCGGGGCTGTGGTGGTGCTTTGGGGTAAAACGGAAAGGCCCTGAAACCGTCGATTCCGGTACTAAAAAACAGCCTTTTTCATTTCGGGAGTTGGCAAATACCAGGCTCCCCCGCTTTTTTGGGGGGTCTGTGGTGGTGCTTTGGGCTAGAATGGAGGGGCCCCGAAACCGTCGATTTCAGTACTAAACATCAGCATTTTTCATTGTGGGAGCGGGCAAATCCTGGTTTCCCCCCTTTTTTGGCGGGCTCTTTGAGGCCTTTTGGTGCTTTTTAAAGCTATTTGCGGCTGCGGCGGTGCTTTGGGGTGATGCCTGTAGGGGTTCAGGGCCCTTTCTGGGGCATTTAGGACTTAGGCTTTAGGGTTTAAAGGCCTTTTTGGGGCGTTTGGGATTTAGTATTCAAGGGCCTCTTTGGAGCTTTTAGGTTTTAGGGTTCAGGGGACTTAGGCAGTAAGAACTGAAATGGTAGATAAGGTTGCCAAATGAAAGGGATTCTGGGTGGGTGGGGCGATGCTAAACACCCTTAGTGGATGCTTGGATCAGAGATTCTGAACCCTAAACCTAAAGCCCAAAACCCAAAACCCTAAACCCAAAACCCTAAGCCCAAACCTTAAGCCCTAAACCCTAAACCCCAAACCCCCCCCCCCCCCCCCCCGCCTATGGCACCCAAGCCGCATTCTTCTCGAAACCGCCTTCGTGCCACTTCTGACCCCAAAAGACGGGCTCACCTGGTCTGAGGGTCTTATCGTATGGCCCCTAAATTGCCCTAAACCCTAAACCCTAAACCCTAAACCCTAAACCCTAAACCCTAAACCCTAAACCCTAAACCCCTTCAAGAAGGCCAGGCACCATACTAAGGGATCATGTAGCTTCCCTTGCGAGGTTGGGGGATGCTGGTGCGCTCAGGGTGCAGGTCTAGGGCTTGCAATGGCAGGTTTGGGGCCCCTGTAAACGTTACACTTTTTTTTATGGCTTTCTAACGATTCTATAGGGGACTAAGTATAAAAGTTAAACTCTTTATGGCTTTATGAAGAGTCTCTAGGGGGCTAAGTAATAAGGAACAAAATCTGTTCAAAGCTAGGGTTTAGGGTTTAGGGTTTAGGGTTTAGGGTTTAGGGTTTAGGGTTTAGGGTTTAGGGTTTAGGGTTTAGGGTTTAGGGTTTAGGGTTTAGGGTTTAGGGTTTAGGGTTTGCCCCTGCTTAGGGCTGGGGACTTTCGACCTGGCAGCTTCCTAGAGCTTCTGGTTCAGGGTTCAGGGTGCCCAGAACCCTCGCATTCAAAAGGGTTCAGGGTTTAGGGTTTAGGGTTTAGGGTTTAGGGTTTAGGGTTCCTAAGGGAACCGAAACGTACTGAAGGGCAACGAAGACTTAGGCTTTAAGGTTTAGGGTTCCTGGGGATTTTAAGGGAACCGAAGCCTACGCTGCTGGGGGCTTCTAGGGCACGATGTTTAGGGTTTAGGGTTTAGGGTTTAGGGTTTAGGGTTTAGGGTTTAGGATTTAGGGTTTAGGGGTTTAGGGTTTAGGGGTTTTCAGTTTAGGGTTTAGGGTTTAGGGCTTCAGGTCCGCCAAGAGTGAAAAGGGTTTAGGGCTTAAGCTTTCAGAGTGTTTTGTGACCGACAGTGGACACACCTTATTAGGGGATAGGATTAGGGGGACCCTTGGGGATATAGACCCTCTGAATACGGTCCCTGTTTAAGAGAGCCACAAGAGGGTTCAGAAGGGGTTCCTGTTAAGGGTCCCCCTTTATCCTACCTAGGACTTATAGCTTAGGGCTTTAGGCGGGTAAGTCTAGTCAAGTTGGAATCAGGGCCTTCGGGAGGCATAGGCATGTCTACGTAGTGAAGTCGGGATCAGTGTGTTGCATAGCCCATACGAAACACTTTGCGGGCGTCTCTCTAGTGGATATGCGATATCCCTAACTCCCGAACTCCCTATGAAGAGCTGGTGAGTTCCACCCGAAACACCTAAAACCCTTCAACACCAAACCCTACACCCTAAACCCCAAACTCTAAACCCCAAACCCCAAACCCCAAACCCTAAACCCTAAACCCTAAACCCTAAACCCTAAACCCTAAACCCTAAACCCTAAACCCTAAACCCTAAACCCTAAACCCTAAACCCTAAACCCCAAACTAAACGAACAGGCGAGTCTAGAGGCCCAAGCTCTTGTCATCCTTGGGTTCGGCGGTGTCCGGAGGGCCCTCTGGGGAGTCCCCCATGGCCGCTGGCACATGTGAGGTTTGTAGGGTTTGTAGGATTTAGGGTTTAGGGTTTAGGATTTAGGGTTTAGGGTATGTAGGGTTTAGGATTTAGGGTTTAGGGTTTGTAGGGCTTTAAGGCTTTGTGTATAGGGTTGGTAGATAGGGATTCGCAGGGTTTTATGGGTTTGTAGAGGTTTAAGGGTTTGTAGGGTGTGTAGGGATTGTAGGGTTCAGGGTTTCGAGGGTTTCGAGGGTTTCGAGGGTTTAGGATTTCTAGGTTCAGGGCTCAGGGAGTGTTGGGGTCGGTTGATGGGGGAGGGGGGGGGGTTTAGGGTTTAAGGGGGGGGGGGGGGGGGGGGGGGGTGTTCGTTTCATGGGGGTGTTCGGCGGGTTCAGGGGTTGGGGTATGGACATTGTTGCCTCGAACCTTCACGTTGCGATGTTGAAGGTTTGGGGGGGATTCGTCCCTGGTCGCACAGAAAAGCTCTGTAGGGACGGGGTGGAGGTTCTTGGTGGTTCGGGCAGAGTTTCCAAGGTCAGCTACAGTGGCTGCTGCTGAAGCTTCTGAGCATCCAGGACGGGCGTCAACAGCTTCCTGCACCCTGCAGAGGGGGAGCTTGTACCTAGACACTCCAAAAACCTGACAAGTAAGAAATGCGATCTTCTCCGACTGTACTCGGGGCTGATGCAAATTCTGGTTCCCTTTTTGGGTCCCTGTTTCTGACCTGCGCAGGCCCATATAAACCACAATGTAGATCAAGCCTACCCTGGCTGGCTCAAGAGACGTTACCCCAGTATGAGGTAGCAAAGTCCCTGACCCTAAACCCTAAACCCTAAAAACCCTGAACCCTGTAAACCCAAAAACCCTAAAGACCCTAAACAAAACCCTCAAAGGCCCAAAGGAACCCTAACAACCCTAAAAACCCTGTTTTAAAAAAAACCTTAAAACCCTAAGGCCCTAAAACAACAACCTGCAAAACCCTAAACAACCCTAAAAACCCTAAAGACCCCAAAGCCTGGGCATCTTTTTGTTTCCTTAAATCCTTGGTCAGCAAAGAAGCTCTCAGAGGGCGTCTGACTGGTCAGTTGCTGCCAAAAGCGCGATTCCACCTGCATGCAGTGGGGGTTTAGGAAATTAAGGGTTTAACGATGTTGGGGTTTAGGGTTTAGGGTTTAGGGTTAGGGTTTAGGGTTTAGGGTTTAGGGTTTAGGGTTTAGGGTTTAGGGTTTAGGGTTTAGGGTTCAGGGTTCAGGGTTCAGGGTTCAGGGTTCAGGGTTCAGGGTTCAGGGTTCAGGGTTCAGGGTTCAGGTTCAGGGTTCAGGGTTCAGGGTTCAGGGTTCAGGGTTCAGGGTTCAGGGTTCAGGGTTTAGGGTAGGGTTAGGGTTTAGGGTTTAGGGTTTAGGGTTTAGGGTTTAGGGTTTAGGGTTTAGGGTTTAGGGTTTAGGGTTTAGGGTTTAGGGTTTAGGGTTTAGGGTTTAGGGTTTAGGGTTTAGGGTTTAGCGGGGGGCGGGGGGGTTCCGAGATTGGGGGTACTTTCTGGAGGTGCTTGTTGCTAGTTGAGAATCCGAATATTGGGGGTCTGTATCAGGGGTCCCTTGTTTTCGTAAATTCCCAATTTGCTGCGCCCCTTCCCTCATAGGGGGAAGTTTAAGGGTTTCGGGGTTTCGGGGCTTAGGGTTTGGGGGTTTAGGTAGGGGTTTAGGCGTTTTGGGTTTAGCGGTTCAGGACTATTTAGCGCAGGGGCTTTGGGCTTTTAGGGTTCAATGGTTCAAAGGGTAGGGCGTGCAACGCCCACGCGCCTGTGAAACTCCGACAGCGCTTCCTTTGAAAGGCTTGGCTTCACCTGCCACGGTTTAGGGTTTAGGGTTTAGGGTTTAGGGTTTAGGGTTTAGGGTTTAGATGGGTCTATGGTGTAGGCCAAACGAGCGACGTTCGGTGACACTTCGCGCAGCCCCAGACCCTATACCAACCTGAACACACGACGCGTATTCCTCAGCCTCAAAGCCTAGACCCTCACGCCTGAAAGACTTATATACTAAACCCTAAACCCTAAACACTAAACACTAAACCCTAAACCCTAAACCCGAAACCCTAAACCCTAAACCCTAAACCCTAAACCCTAAACCCCCCAACTTCCCAAATCCTCAACTCTCATTCGCCACAAAACGCGCAATAAACCCTTAGTCAGCCCAAACCCCTATGGACCCTTAATTTTCAGTCCCTAAGACCTGAAACGCCTCCAAGCTGTAGTGCAAACCAACAAACAATTCACCCAAAAGCCATCGTGTACGCAACTCGGCCCTAGATACCCTAAACCAAGCCCCTAATTTAAAATCAACCCTTAAAGTACCTAAACCCTGAACGACCCAAACGCGAAACCCCAAACCCTAAATCCTAACCCCCCCCCCCCCCCCCCCCGCCTAAACCCAAACAAACTCGGCCTTGTGGACCGCGGCTTGAAAATCAGCTAAGGTGATGGGGCGAATCCCATCTGGCGTGGCTGAGACCAAGGCCTGGGACAGGGTTTAGGGTTTAGGGTTTAGGGTTTAGGGCCTAGGGCTAGGGTTTAGGGTTTAGGGTTTAGGGTTTGATTTTTATGGCTAGGGTTTACGGTTTAGGGTCGAGGGTCTAGGGTTTACGGCTTAGGGCTTAGGACTTGGGGTTTGTAGGGCTCAGGGTCAAAAGCTGAGCTCAAGGTGCGCGGTCTTAAGTTTGGGACAGGCGGTTTAGCACTGTGGTTGTAGGGCTTCGAAGTGTTAAGTTTATAGGAATTCTACAGTTTCGTGTCGAGGCTGAAAAGCTTCAGGGCTTTCTCTTAATTGTGTTCCACAACCCTAACCCAGAATGCAAACCATTCAGCCCTAAGAAACTCCACACCCTTCCTTCCGCAAAACCCCCACAAACCCAAAACGCCCAAAAACAAAGCCAAACCCTGAAGACCCTTAAAGAAAAACGACCTATAAGCTCGGAACATCTACAATCCCCAAAAATCGCAAACAACCTCAAAACCCTTAGCGACCCTAAATAAACCCGAAGAATCCCTAAACCCTAAACGTTAAACCCTAAACCCTAAACCCGAAACCCAGAACCCGAAACCCGAAACCCGGACCCTGAACCCCTACACCCTACACCCTAAACCCTAAACCCTAAACCCTAAACCCTAAACCCTAAACCCTAAACCCCAAAAAAAAACCCAAACCCCAAGCCCCCCTCTGTGGAGAGACCGCGCCTCGGGTCGAAGGCCCCGGACTGGGCCCATGGCGGCCTGCGGTGTGTGTGTGTGTGTGTGTGTGTGTCTCACTCTCTTGTGTGTGTGTGTGTGTTTGAGGCTTCAGGTCTTGGGGTTTAGGGTTTAGGGTTTGGGGTTTAGGGTTTAGGGCTTAGGGCTGTGAGTCTTTGAGTCTTTGAGGTTTTGAGGGTTTCTAGGCTTTTAGCGTTTCGGGTTTAGGACCGCATTCTGGGGCTCGTGGGGCTCCTTTAGAAGGGTTATGTAGGGGACTCGTTCAACCTACCCCTGTTCAGCTGTGCTTCGGGGGGGTTAGGGCTTGAGGCTTTCAATTGTCTGGCGCTTGAGAGATCTCACAGATTTTAGCATGCAACCCTAAACCCTAAACCCTAAACCCTAGACCCTAAACCCTAAACCCTAAACCCTAAACCCTAAACCCTAAACCTTCAGGGCACTTGCAGGGTCCAAGCTCCCAGGTAAAGCACAGCGGCCTCCCGCGTCAAAGCCGCGAGATCAGAACCTTGATTCTCTTGTATTGGGGTTCAGGATCTAGTCGGCTCTCGAAACTATGCTCTCCTTTTTCAAATCAATATAACAGGGCCCCACCCCTGTCATGTGTAGAGACCCAGTCAAGACGCCAAGGCGATCAAGACAGCACAAAGACCGAACATGACCCTTAGTATGAGGTACCCGAGATAATCCCGAAAAGGGTATATATAGGGGCCTAATTCCCTCATTCCCCACTGAGAACCAGGGGGCAAAGAGGCCCGCTTGGCGCAGGGCAGGAGTAGCCGTCAGTCATGCTGGCAAGCCTGCTTTGCTTGAGCGGTGCGCAAAAAAATTGCATCCAAGACCCGAGTTTGGGCTTGCCGGGAAACTCTACCCCAAGCCCTAAACCCGAAGCCCCTCGACCCAAAATCCTAAACCCTAAGCCCAAAACCCTAAACCCCAAACTCTAAAGCCTTGAAGTCTGCTGCGCGCAACCTGCTGAGAAGCTGAAACAACCCATACATGGCCTCGTGAAGTCAGCACTGGACAGGGAGTGCCTGGCTCCGTGCAACTCCTGCAGTTGCAACATAATATGGGGCTTAGGGTATAGGGTTTAGGGTCTAGGGTCTAGGGTTTAGGGCCTTGCTCGGAATCAAAACCCCTCGTCGATCTTCGAGGCACATTTTATAAGACTATAAGGTATGGCACCATATATGAAATCCTATAAACACCACCCCAAAAAAACGTTTAAAAAGGACTCCCCTAAACAATGGACGCACGTTCCAGAAGAACCACCATGAACTCTATGAAAGGCCAGCACAAGGGGTTTAGGGTTAGGGTTTAGGGTTTAGGGTTTAGGGTTTAGGGTTTAGGGTTTAGGGTTTAGGGTTTAGGGTTTAGGGTTTAGGGTTTAGGGTTTAGGGTTTAGGGTTTAGGGTTTAGGGTTTAGGGTTTAGGGTTTAGGGTTTACAACTGCCTGAAGGAAGCGAAAAAGCCGGTCCTTGCTGACAAGGACGCTCCTGGTTGTAGCATCCGGCAGTGGAATCAATATCCTCCTGACGACAGTTCTGTCGAAGCTCAGAGACACTAAACCCTAAACCCCAAACCCTAAAGCCTAAACCCCAGTTGCAACAAGCCAGAGATGCCATCCTCAACAGCTCTCTGCCAGGCAAGGCTAACCCTAAACCTAACCCTAAACCCTCAACCCTAAACCCTAAACCCTAAACGCTGCAACAACCAAGCCCAGTGCCTTGGGAGACGCCTAAGAACGGCGTCGTCCAATTCACCCGGCCTGCCCCAACATCTCGGGTTCAGGGTTTAGGGTTTAGGGTTTAGGGTTTAGGGGTTCAGGGTTCAGAGTATTGGGGTTTAGGGCTTTCGGAGGGGTTTACTGGGCTTGGTAGTTAGGGTCTAGGGATTTGGAGAGACGAGGGTGAACCTATGGGATCTAAGGAATCCAAGGGGTTCTAAAACGTTGCCTGATATAGGGGCCTGAAAAATTAGAATAGGGTTTTGGGGGGGTTCTGGTAGTATAAATATAAAGGAACCATAAGGGAATACTATTAGTAATTATTCAGAGCCCTATATTGCTCTGCACCTAAGCCCTCATGTCATGAAAGAAATGACATCAGCCAGTACCAGAGAGCCCCAAGCCCCGTAATTCAGGATTCCTTTAGCCCATACTTTGGGATGTTCCCCCTAAAACTAACAATCCTCCATAGGGGTCTTAGTAGGGGGTACCATAATCCCTATTACGGACTGTTAGTACCCATAAGGGCCAACAAACCAAGCTCTATTCCGTAATCAAAGGGCGTGGGGTTCTCAGGAGACACGCTTTCCGGCGCGCTTCAGCATCCGGGTCGATCCTGGTTAGAGGATGCTCAAGGCTCAGATCGCCATTGGCGGAGAGCCGAGTGTCGTTAGCTGGAGGCCCTCTTTTCAACCTAAACCAGGGTCCCTCAATCCTAAGACACTAAGCCTAAATATCCTGGAACCCACAAACTTACAAACCCTACAGCCTAAAAAACCCGAGCCTTAAACCCTAATACACCCGCCACTATACAATCCTTGGACCTGGACCCTAGAAACCCTAAACCCTAAATCCTAAACCCTAAACCCTAAAAGCCCTAAAAGCCCTAAACCCCAAACCCTAAACACCTGAATCAGAAGCCTACACTCTGGACCCCGTTAAAGCGCCCGTCATCTGGTGGAGCGGGCGCTTCTTTGGGCCGTCATTCCAAACCAAAGCCTGCAGGGTTTAGGGTTTAGGGTTTAGGGTTTAGGGTTAAGGGTTTAGGGTTTAGGGTTTAGGGTTAGGAATTTAGTTTAAATGGTTCGGCACTTCTTTCGGATGTAGAGTTCAGGGCGTAGGAAGACAGGGCCTAGAGTTTGGGGTTTAGGGTTTCGGGTTTTAAGGTCTTAGTTTTAAGGGGCTTAGAGGGGTGGATTTCGGGCGCTCCGTTTTTCCTCAAGGCGTAGAAGGCCTCGGGGTCTGAGGGTCTTCGGGAAGTAGACCCCACGGAGGGGTTTAGGGTTTAGGGTTTAGGGTTTAGGGTTTAGGGTTTAGGCACCTGTGAGCCGCAAGCAATCGGATCCGGGCGACCTTCGGCATTGTGCATCGCCGTGGTGATCATGCGCTCAAGCTTGGCCTCGGAGCCTTGGGCAGGGGGGTTTAGGGTTTGAGGGTTGAGGGTTGAGGGTTTAGGGTTTAGGGGATAACCGAAACCCCGTAAAGCCCGGATCCTACTAAAAAAAAGGCTGCAGCTGCTGCAGCCGGGTTCCACAAGAACACCCGGCTTTCGGGGGTTTAGGGTTTCGGGGATGAGTTTGCGGTGTATAAACCCAAAACCCGACACCCTAAACCGTAAACCCGTAAGGGCTTACCCAGAGAGCCCACTACCCCTTAATCAAAGAATATACATTAGCTCATATAGGGATCCTAAATAAGATGTGAGGTATATTGCATATTTAAGGGGTATTGGTCTCTTTGGGTAGGGATCTAGGGTAAACCGCTCTTCCTGCCCGGCATTGGAACTTCCCTCCGTAGGCTTGCAGCCGTACTCCGGGAGGAGCAGGAGGTTAAAACCTTGGGGTTCGGAGGTGTGAGGTTTAGAGGTTTAGGGTTTAGAGGTTTAGGGTTTAGGGCTAAACTCGAAACCCTGGCCCCGAACCCCACAGCAGAGTTTGGGGTTTGTTGGGGGTTTATAGGGTTTTGGGGTTGGGAGGTTTAGGGTTTAGGGCTTTTTGGAATTGGGGTTTAGGGTTCAGGGAGTTTGGGCGCTTATGCGATTTGTTGGGGGTGGAAAGCTGGACTGAGGGTTGTGGGCCAGAGGGGACTAAGCTTTTTGACCGAGCTCTCGCATTCCCTTCCAGGAACCCGAGACCCAAAAGAGACCCAGCGTCGGGGTTCAGGGTTGAGGGCTTCGGGTCCAGGGCTTAAAGTTTCTAAACCCTAAACCCTAAACCCTAAACCCTAAAACCTAAACCCTAAACCAGCTAGGGGCTGCAGTTGGTTCCTGATTTTGTGGTTTACTTGGAGGTTCACGGTGCTTGTTAACCCAATAACCGCTGCAGCTATATCCCAATCACAACCATCTTAGGGCACTTAAGGGGCTTATAACTAGGCTCTAAACCCTAGACCCTAAACCCTAAACCCAAAACCCTATAAGTACAGTTGTAATTGGTGAAAAAACTCCACGAACCTCCAAGTAGGTCCCATGCGAGCTCTAAGCCCGAGACATGTGTGCGCTGTTGGCAGTCGCTCCGTTGGCTCCTCAGTTTAGGGTTTAGGGTTTAGGGTTTAGGGTTTAGGGCACGCGCCCTAAGCCCCGAACTCTGTAAAGATCAGGGTTTCGCGTCTGTAGGGCTAACAAGGTGCGGGCTTCCGTTTAGGGTTTAGGGTTTAGGGCTAGGGTTTAGGGTTTAGGGCTTAGGGTTTGAGGTTAAAGGGTGTTAAGTAGCAGCATCATTTTATATATATATAGACACACACACACACTGCGCTTATGGGGTAAGATGCCCACTCAAACCCTAAACCCGTCATGGGCAACCCACACGGGAAAGGGTCCCCAAATTGATAGGAGGCCCAAAAGGGGCCCCGAGGTTTAGGGGGTTTGATTTTTGCAGGTTTGGCGGTAGTGAAGGAATTTCTGAAGTAAGCGGTTTTTTGTTGGCGGGGGAGGGGGGGTGGGCGGGGGCCCCTGGTGGACCCAAATGGCGAGAACGCTGTGAACCCCTGGAAAAGAACAACCGCCGACCCGCACCCCTAAACCCCACCTAGATGGGGTCTAGCCTTAAGAACCTCAAACCCAAACTTCTGTAGGTCATGGCGATCAATCCCCGCAACCCGCAGAACAGCTCTTGAGGTAGGCCCTCAATCCTAAATCCTGAACCCCACAACCCCCGAACCCCTAAACCCCACCCTAGACCGCAAACCCTAAGCCCCCCCCTTATCCCCCAGCCCTAAACCCTCGACTCAAACTCCTTCAAGAACCCTAAACCCTAAACCCTAAACCCTAAACCCTAAACCCTAAACTCCTACAACCCCTCAGTCCCGAACCTTGACCTTGGCCCCCTCGGCGTCTCCAAGGCCCAGGCATCTCCGTTGCGCTGGATGACCAGCTGAAGCTCCTGAAGTCCGCCAACCTGGGGACAAAGAAGAGGGTTTAGGGTTTAGGGTTTAGGGTTTAGGGTTTAGGGTTTCGGGGCTGAGGCTTGGAACCCTAAGCCCTAAATCCTAAGCCCTACACCCTATATAAGCCCTAAAACTCCTAAACCCATAAACCCTAACCCCATAAACCCTAAACCCTTGCAAGATTCTCTTCGACACCGGATGTCAAGTTCCTTCATACTCGAGGGGCCTCGAGGGCGAGGCTTTCAAGTTTTCAGGGGTTTAGGGTTTGGGGTGGGGTTTAGGGTTAGGGTTTAGGGTTTAAGATTTAGGGTTTGAGGTTTAGGGTTTAGGGTTTCGGGCTTGAGGGTTTGAGGGTTGAGGCTTCAGGGTGTAGGTTTTGCCACCCTTTTTGCCCGATTTGTGGCTTTAATGAAGGGGCCTTTAATGTTTCGCACTCAGGGTCCGAGGGTCTGGGTCCGATATGCCGACTGGGGTTGAAGGGCATCATAACATGGGCGCGCGCGCCCAAGCCCTAAACCTTAATGCACCCCTACACCCCTAAACCCCTAAACTCCAACGCCCCTAAACCCCTAAAACAAGGCGGCAATAAAAGACACCGGTTGGGACCAGAGTGTCAACCCTTGAGAAGCCAGCCGGCTTTTGGGGTCGTAGAGGTTCACGGTACTTCTTGACCAATTGGTATCTGTACTTATAACCCACTTATAAGCCCTTAAGTGCCCTCATATGGCAATAATTGGGTTATATATAAGTACAGTTACTTTTGAGTTCATAAGTACTGAACCTCCAAGTGGGATGATTCGCCACTTCAAACTGTCCCAAACCCGACACCCCGAAACCCCTAAAACCCTAAAACCACCAACCCCCCAAGCCCCCAAGCCCCCCAAACCATAAACCTCTAAACCCTAAACCCCCCAACCCCTAAACCCCTAAAACCCCTAAAACCCCTAAAATCCCTAAAATCCCTAAAACCCCTAACGCCCCTCACGCCCCTAAAACCCCTAAAACCCCTAAAACCCCTAAAACCCCCTAAAACCCCTAAAACCCCCTAAAACCCCTAAAACCCCTAAAACCCCTAAAACCCCTGAGACCCCTAAAACCCCTAAAACCCCTAAAACCCCTTAAACCCCTAAACCCCTAAACCCCTAAACCCCTAAACCCCTAAACCCCTAAACCCCTAAACCCCTAAACCCCTAAACCCCTAAACCCCTAAACCCCTAAACCAAACCCTAAACCCTAGAACCCAAAACCCTCAAACCCTAGAAGACCCTACTCTAGGGGCCTTAATAATTAGAATAGGGTTTTGGGGGTGACTATAGTCTAGTTAGAAAGGGGCCATAAGGGAATACTAATGGTGATTGTTCCGACCCCTAACATAGACCCAACTAGCAGGGTCATTTTATAGAAATAACGCCAATAAGGTGCCCTAATATCGTAAACCTCCATGAGATACTGCAAGCCTCAAAGCCACAGCCACTGGGGAGCTGACGGGGGCCAGGTCACTGCCCGTCACGAATGACAGGAACCGCTTCTTCTGAACCTGGGGTTTAGGGCTTAGGGTTTAGGGTTTAGGGGCAAGAGAACGAGGATGGCACTACAAAACACCTCTGGTTCCCGACGATGATCCTCTTGAACCCGAATGAGGGGAAACATGGTTTATG